ATTGTCAATGTTAGACAGTTTAATGTCACTGTCTTCATTGATTTCCAATATGCTTTAATTTCAAATCTTCATAGGTACACAGAGTTTGGAACATCACTCATGACTGGAACATCAGGGCAGATGCCGTCATCAGGGCAGATGACGTCATCAGCATATTCGACATCTACTCCTCCGGCCGATGGCAGTATACAAGTGATATTCATTATCAGTGCTCTGATAGCAACAGTGGGGACTATAACGAACATTTTGTCATTGTCCTACTTTGTCATAACAATAAGGTCCTCAACTTCGGTCAGGGGAAGAAATTCCGTAACTCCGACTACCAAGATCTTTATAGCACTAAATGTGTTTGACCTCATATTGAGCATTTCAGCTGTATCATTTTTCTCTTCATTACAACCTATAATATATGATAATTTTCCGTCATTGCTGGATATTTCATATATAGTTTTTACGATTTCTGTATTTGCGACTAGCTTTTTGACATGCTTGATGGCAATTATAAGGGCAATATCCGCCATTTTCCCGCATCATGTCATAAACTGGGTGTTGGTAATGGCCTTGATGGTATTATACAGCGTAGTTGTTTTAGTTTTAATACTAATGCGGGCTTTATTTCCGATTGATTCCATAAGTCTTAATATGATTTTTTATCATGTTCGATTTCTTATCCTGGTTAGCTTATTCATTATAGTTTTACTGTCAAACGCGCTTATGATCAGGACACTACATCTCTCGCACACCGAAAAAAATCAAACAGCAATTTCAAGAAACAATGTCAGCCTAGGAAAAAAGAAAGCTACAGTCACTGTTTGGATATTATCTGCCATTTACTGCACCTGCAACATTGGAATGATTATCATCGCAGGCATTCCTATCTTTAACATGTCAACCTACAACAACATTCCCATCGACATAGTAGACACATTTATCTACATCTTAGTTCCCCTGAACTCCGCATGCAATCCAGTGGTATTCCTCACCAGGAGATCAGCTATGAGGTCTTATCTTAAAGAGGTGTCGGAGAGACTTACCAACAGTCGTTTAACCGCTATGAAATGGACCAGTTTATCTCTGAATCACGTGTAGTATACACTCCTTATATGGGCATCACGTGTAGTATACACTCCTTATATGGGCATCACGTGTTAAAGAGGTGTCGGAGAGACTTACCAGCAGTCGTTTAACCGCTATGAAATGGACCAGTTTATCTCTGAATCACGTGTAGTATACACTCCTTATATGGGCATCACGTGTAGTATACACTCCTTATATTGGCATCACGTGTAGTATACACTCCTTAAAGAGGTGTCGGAGAGACTTACCAGCAGTCGTTTAACCGCTATGAAATGGACCAGTTTATCTCTGAATCACGTGTAGTATACACTCCTTATATGGGCATCACGTGTAGTATACACTCCTTATATGGGCATCACGTGTAGTATACACTCCTTAAGGAGGTGTCGGAGAGACTTACCAGCAGTCGTTTAACCGCTATGAAATGGACCAGTGTATCTCTGAATCATACTTCTATTAACAATGTTGGGTGCTAAAGAGACTTTGAACTGTGAAATCTGAGATATAAACTGTTTTCTATCGTTATACAACTTACTGAAGAGTTATTGTACATTTGCGAATAGTTCAACTTAAATTGCTGTTTATTCTATCAGTTCAGCAGATTGGATCAATTTATTGTCAAGTTCCAAATCAATTACATTAAATTTCAATTTAAAGTGTTACTTAGGATAATAACGAAAACGAAGTGTTTTCTTAAGTGGAATGTGCTTAAAAACGGTTTCGAGCAGACTGCAGTTGAGTCGTTTACACTCCTTATATGGGCATCACGTGTAGTATACACTCCTTATATGGGCATCACGTGCAGTGTAGAGAGTGGTATACAAACCCAGATACTACCTCTGGTTATGTAAAATTAGGTTTTATTTGTGAGCCCTTTTTTAACTCTCACCATTAAAGTTTTGATCATTTAAACACAAAAATGTCACATTATCATTATTCTTTATATACTCCGATATATTTGTTTTTTGTTTTTTTTTAAAGAGTCCGATATACTTTGAATTATTTCTAACGTTACGACACCGACTAATGTCGTTCTTTCAATTACAAACAACCGAATGAACAGTAAAATAATAATAATGGAAAATTGGGGAGTGTCAGATAACAGACTATATTGATATTAAGCATTCCTTGATCATTGGGTAAATAGACATTAGACAGGTATTGTAAATATAACCCCAACAGACATACCTATAATTTATTTCTAATAAAGGATAAAGGATTGTGTCATCTGCTGCGCATGCAATATACCTTACAAGACATTTTTGTGGCGGACCAATTTGCGACGACCGAAATTTTGGCGGTCCGAAAATATGGCGAAATTGAACAAAAACCGTCACATTTCGGTCGTCACAGAAAATAAGGGTATTTTTCATCATTTTGTTTTCTGATACAAAGGAAATTCAAAATTTTCAAAAATCGGTAAAATCATGTTGAAACAAAATGAAACTTATAAATCGATTTCTTCATCTTCCTCTAAGGGGTCCGGCTCGACTCTTCCAGTTTCACTTATTGAGTTTGGTATTAAATTGTTTATCTTGACTTAGTCTCTTATAAGACGTTTATGTTAGCACATAAATGTAATTTATTGTAAATTTAAAACGTATTACTTGACATTAAATTCATCATGGAATATTGTGTTTATTTGTCCCACCATCATATCACTAACTTTTCAAGAACAAAATGAATAGATGAAGCCACAATTATTGGAATAAGCTAAAAATAATGAGACGGATTCTATTACGACGACCGAAATTTTGGCGATTCGAAAATATGGCGAAATTTCGGGAAAACCGTCGCATTTCGTACGTTATGAAAAAGTCTTGTAAGGTAGGATTTATTAAGATTGCTAGCATTCCTCCGAGATCGGCAATCAATCTCGAACTTTAGAAAAAATTCTGAATGTTATCGTAGACATGTTGGTCTCCAGATTACTTCCACTGAATTCTTCACTCAACCATGGGGTACCTAGCCCGGAATCTGACTTAAACTTATTCATCAAAATCTAAAAACTTTTATTCTTCACATCTTACTTAGTTATAAGTTTTAAAGAATTGTAAAACTTATTACATCACAGTTAGCGGATCTGGGAATACTAATTAATATAGAACTGCTAATACTTGTTAACAAAGCCAATTGTTATAACATTGTTATTTCACGTTTACAATTGTTATAACATTGTTATTTCACTTTTACAATGGCATATAACTGCTGATTATAATGGCTGTTCTTTCTTTTATTTTTTAGAATGACATATTACTGCAGATACAGTTAGCAGTTGCTCACGTTTCACATTTCTTCTTGTTAATGCTATATTTTCAATATTGCTCTATCAAAAGTCCAAGTGCATTACTGAATTCCTCTCTCAACCCTTGCGCCTATCTGATGAAATAAGATCCATAACAACGCAGGTTTGAATCTAAGGAGAGCGACAAAGAGTTCCGTGATACAAATGTTGGGTATTTAAGGTAGACTTTATTAAGGTAGACTTAATCGTGTCTCTTTTAAGACAGTATCAAAATGTAGTGTTTTGTTCTCTATTTGCTTGGTGGTCGTTTCATACAGATCAGTTAAGTTGTATTTGAAATGAAGATTTAAGTACTAAAATGTTTCGTTGATATAAACAAAAAATGTTAGCTATATATTCTTTATATTCTTCTCAATTTCAGAGAACGATATAACACTAAATAATTTTGTTCCGACAAATTAACAAATGAACAGATAGATTTAACAAGAATTTCGCCGCGGTTACACCACGCACGATCGGTCTTCCCTACAGTGGACTTGTACCAGTAATTATTTCAAGTGAAAAGTTTGGCGTACCTGACAATCGTGTTTTCATTTGTGCAGAATATTTACATGCTACATTTTCCATAAATGAGTGGGATCCGTGCACGGTAAAAATTGCGCCACGCACAAATAATAAATAAAACCGGAAAACTGGGCAAAATAACTTTGCGGCGTAAACAACTTCGGGCGTAATTAATTAACTCATGACCGGTGTCACGCGCAGCAAATTATATATCTCCTATCCACATAATTGAAGGGGAGTGGTCTATATTTCGAAGGAGCAGCCTTCTGTCATCATCGTAGCGCCAACCCGATAACATATTCCGTACGATGTTTTTGAAAAATTAGTGACTGTCAGCTAGCCGACCTCATTGACATTTAGCATTCCTCTCATTCAATAGGTGAAAAGACAGGTAATCCTACTACAGGGTGGCCCGAAAGTAACTACCCACACGCAACGTTATTCGTGTCAAAATTTGACAAAAATTTCAGAGAATATAGATATGGGTCAAACTTAGAATTTCTGAAAGTTTCGCAAAATTTCATTGATTACAGAGAGTGTGGCACGCCACTCCCTCTTACAAAGTAAGTAATTAAGCCGAGTTATGATCATTTTAAGATCTGGTGGATACTTAATCACTATTGTCGCCACAAAGTGAGAACACTTTGGGCTAGGAACTCCAAAGTTTATAGACACATTTGGTTTGATAATTCAAGTGATTTCCTAAAATTTCAAGTTGAAACAACTCAGTCAGTTTTCAAAATTTGTGCATGAAATTTTCGGAATCGCATTTTCACCTTATTTTGTGAACGGATTTTTATTTAGGCCCCAAAAAATTTTTGCGTCCAAATTCCAAAATGTTTTGGATGTACTTCATTTTTTTAAACGAATATAAAATTTAGTTTCATAATTTATATTTGATTCTGCAATTCAAAGAGCAACATATGATGATTGATGATGGATGACAGTAAAAAAAGTTGTTTCGCAGAAAGAATATGAATGTGCTAATTAAATATTGTTTAAGTTACAATCATTTATGAATCTTATCTGTCCTTTTTTTATTTGATCTACTTCCAAAACATATACTGTTGCAAAAGCTCTAGACCCTATAATAATAGCCCTTTAAATTACTAACCCAAGACCAGTTTTATCTTTAGAGTTTTGAGCTCCTTCAGTGGACATTGGTTCTGACATGCCCTTTGACGACTTTCCTAGTCCCTGACCTGCTGTCCAGCCTTGCTGTCTCATCAACCTACCCCCGAAACCCTGCCAAATACAGTGGCTCAAACCAATGTTATTTTAGTAGCTCTACAACAAAGATAAGAATACAGTCGATTACAGACATCGAGGAGATCCTAACCATTTGAGCCTTATACTGCCATCTGTCAATAGCGAAAATTGTGTGGATATTTTCCGGAATAGCAAACCTAATATAAAGTTCTTAGCAAGTTAATGAATCACAAACCTTAGTGTGTTTCTCAAAGTCACCTATCTTCTCTTCCACATCTCCATGTTTCCTAAACTGATCTGCATTCCTCATATCCTGGGAGTCCCTGGCATCCTTGTCACCTCGGTGTCCCTCATATACCCCCATATCAACATCCCACTCATCTGCCCATAACCCGTCCGTGTCTGGCAAAAGTAAGGTTACCATTACCAATCATGTTGTGATCCAGCAACGTATATAATAACCATAGTTACTATAGTTACTGTAGTTACTATTACCAATCATGTTGTGATCGTTGATGAAGAATTTGAAAACTGTCAGCCAAAACGTTCATTTGCAATCTGCAGGAGTAGTGACATTTAGCTTAAAACAAATTACGCACCTTTTCCCTCCAAGTCGGCCCAGTAGTTGCTATCAGTGTAGAACACTAAGCCACTGGAACCCTTGTCCCACACTATCTCCATATCCTCCTCGTACATTCGCTCTTTCGTACGATCCTAGGGTGCGGTAATATACTAATTACAACACTACAAATCTATTGCATTTATTGAGAATTATGTAATTATGTAACGTGATGGAAATATTTTAAACGGGCATATCCTGTCCAAACCCAGGATGCACTACATGAAGAATTCGTTGTAACTTTGTTTGAAACAAGTAATGAAGCGTTGTAGAAATATGGTTACTTAAGGGAAGAATATATCTGATTAAGTTGTGTAGTGGTATTGAGTTTCATTTGATGATTCTTTTAAGAAAATATCTGAAGGTAAATAAAATCCTATACAATTATTTTATTTCGAACCTGAGTTCCAACGTCATTGTTGAAGGACTCGTGCCGTTCCCAGTCCTCAGCTCCGTCGTGATCTTCAACTCTCTCATTCTCACTCCAAAACGAGCTTTTACCGCTGTTACCACTCAAGCTTTCCCCGCTACTCGATGTACTTGGGCAATTCGAGGAGTCTGATGGTTTATTGGGTGTTTTTAAGCTTTTAAACTTTTTCAATTTTTTCATATTTGATCGGCGGTTCTGGTAGAGGTCAGATGGGGCAACTGCGCTGTACTGCCGTCTTTTAACTGTTCGAGGAAATTCCAATTGAAGCTTCTACTGAAAAGAGTAAAATTATTTTCCCTACGGCATGAAAAAATTACGACTGAAAGTTCAATTTTCTTGCTGTAACAAGCTAACAATAATATAGTTGGAAGTACAATAAGTAAGTACTACCTGCGATTAGTGTACCTTGATAATAGCTGGGGGTAACAGGCATTTGTTAACGAGGGACAGAAATAATTTAGTGGTCGTTCCTACGTTTCCAGCTGGCATCACTTTCGGAGGGTTTAACTCTGGCAACTTTTTCAGCGCATCTAGGGTTTCACTATTTAAGTATTTAAGGTTTTCATCGATGGTAAAAGATTTAAGATCTCACAAAATGTGATACAAATTACTGATACATTGAAATTTAAGTTCGAGCTGCTTAGGGGTCGTTCACATATTAGTATTAAAAAGTGATTACGTAATATGTGAACGATCCCTAATCTAGAATTATTGCAAGTTTCACCATTTATTTTAGTTCTGATGATGACTGCGACACCAATATTTGATTCTGCACCATCACTGTTCAGTTCACTGGACCATCTTTTGTGGTGAAATGTTTTAGAAAACTCGTCGCTCAAAGATTCTTCTAGTCTGACCACGCAGCAAAATGTCTGAACAGTATTTGTATCACAAGATAGATAAGTAACCTTTTTGAGAGCAAGTTGCATTTATCCATAATCGCCGAAACGAAAAGCCAAAACCATCAATATTCCTGTTAAAATGTTGGCTAGGAATTTCCCGCCAAAAAGTCTTAGAATACAATTTTAGAGATACCTGTGGTTGTGGTGTTTCTGATGATCCTGCTTTTGGTTGTTCAGCAACTGGTCTTTCTTCAGGCCTGTGCTTGAAATGAAAACAGGAGAAATGCCCCCTTTCTGTGAAAGTTTTGAAATGTTTCCTCAAGTCAGCCGATCTATAACACTTTGGTATGTTGCTCACAACAAAGTAGGACATGCTACATCGTCTCCGATTGAAAGTTCGTCCCACTTTACATCATTCTAGAATGCCTGAGATATATGGTGAGCAACACCTTTACAAGAAGCCTCGCAGATTTAAGACTAAAGGAATCACAAATTATTATCTCTAGCGATACAAGGCCCCTAGTCAGCAATTTAGCTGATGGTGCTACGTTGAAAAGTCATCCTTGAGTGCTTTACATGTTCCTATCAAGCAAGTAACGGCAGCAGGCTTAGAAAGATAAAAGATTTAAGATATGTTAGCGACCTAAAACTATAACATCATATGCACCGGGCCCCAAATAATTGCATTATAATTGTTGCCACCAGAACAGAATCCCGCGCAGCGCACGAACATTCATACGTACGCAATAGTGTGACTACTTTTTCAAAGGCTTGGTACAGTGCTATTTCAACACACGGCTGCGATTCGGGGTCCGCGCCGGACGCCTAGTTTGACCACAACCGGGCAAGGTCCAGCACTTTGGCGCCCTAGCTAATTCAAACGATAAACAATCACTGGGCCTAAAAGCTACCTCAAAATAAACAAGTAACAACAACCACATATCGAAATCCGCATAAGGTTTACAAAAGGTTATAGATAAACTGAAATTCAAACATAAATATACTTAACTGGCTTTACCTCTCTCAAAAGTAGACAATCGGTCACTAGAGGCAATTAAATTGGGAATTTCTTCTATCAAGTTAACAGGTGCCATCAAAATTTAGCACAACACAACAAAGATCCACGTAAAATTGCCATGAATAACCAAAAATTTACTCTTTGTACAAATTTATCACATTTAACAAGTATTTGATATCAAAACACGCAGCTTCATGTAGTTTATTGGTATTTGTGTTTATTATGGGTCTTGCTATGTCTGACGAAGTCCGAGTGTCTCACTGTTTTATACTCGCACAGGTTGCATTTGAAGACGTTGTCAATGTGGATGTTGAAATGCCTTGTCATGTCGGATTTCCTGATTGTCATATAGCCACACATTGGACATTTCCACTTCTGCTCCTTGCCATGGCTCAGGCGGTGCTCATGGTAGTTCTTGCGACAAGCGGCCACAAAGTCGCATTTGTCGCACGAGTACATTTTGACAGAAGCACTGGAGGTTCTGCGTTTCTTGGGGGATGATGAGGAAGAGGTGGTGGTCTCCACGGTAGAAGAGGAAGGAAGGTCGGCCAGGGCGTTGTTGTTGATCACTTTTTGTCCCTCTTTAGTGACCTGAACTAAGATGACTCTACAGCGGGGCAGGTTAGCAGTGTGGATGTGCATGTGTTTGAGCAGCACCGTCTTGCGGGATGTGGTGTAGTTACATACCCCACACTTGAAAGGTTTCTCTCCCGCGTGAAGCAGATGGTGCCGTCTCAGGTCTGATTTACGAGCTGTCTTGTATTCACACTTCACACAGTGGAATAAGTTCTCCCCGGTGTGACCCCGCACGTGTCTTGTTAGATCACTCCGACGGTTTGTGGAATAGTTGCAGTACTCACATTGGAATTCCTTTTTCTCGGGCATCTCTTCGTACGAGACGTTCTGCTCTTCCATCTGGAGTTCAGCAGAATCGTCTTCTGATCCAATCTGATCCAGTACATCCTCAAGATGCACCATCTGCTCTTCTTCTATTATCTCCTCATCTCCCTTTAGTATTTCTTCTTCTTCCAAGAACTCTTCTTCCACCACCCGGGCCGAGTGAAGGTGGTGGTGGGGGTCTAATGGTGCCACCTGAGCCGAGTGAAGGTGGTGGTGGGGGTCTAATGGTGCACTTTGGGGAATTCTCACTTCCATCGCTTTATTGCATTCTGGGAGCAGGTTAATGTTAGATGTATATTGTATACTAGTATTTGTTAAATGTATACTGGTATTTTAATAAGAAATTCGCGGGGCATCCCCTTTAGAAGTTTATATCATTTATTTGATTTATCAGATCGGAGCTGAACAGTGAAAGCAGTCTATTAATGTCGATATGAGCAATAAAACACAATGTTCTTAATAATATAACTTTAACACATAATAAATACATACTATGTGGGCTCCAAGAAACTGTTACTGTAATCACTCACACGGTAGCTGTATTATCACTATTCAAGAGTACTGGCGGGGAAATGGGAATATAGTATTCATAACATACCATTTATATAATTATAATTGTAGATTAAAAGATAATTTTAATTGCTAAAAATAAAAGAATAGTTCATCATCTTGAAACAGCGGGTTTATTTTACTGACTCAAACTAGAACGATCATAGGCCAAAGTCGCATGGTATCATGATGATTGATGAAGTATAAACGGTTAATTACATGAAAATGGAGCGAAGGAAAATTTGAGGCAACTGATATGATGAGATATAATTGGATTGGCAACGATTTTCAAGTTGAATGTTTCAAGGAATTAAATTAAAGAAACAGCAAACAGCAGATGTCATGTCATAAACTTAAATCAAACGTGACTTGGCCACGTAAACAGACAACATGCAATTAAAATACGGATTTAAACCAAATGAAAGTTATACCAATTTATTGCTTCACTGTACTGTAGTTATTAATTACCACACAGCTGCCAAACAACTAAACAAGAATTAGCCAGATCACTAGTATACTCCACACTACATACCAAAAGCTGATAGTATGTATAATTATTTAAGACTATATCGGGGAGTCTATAACACTTTTACATCAATTTTGGGCATTTTTTCCCAATTTAAATTTGTATTGATAAAGTTTCAAAAAATCAATATATCCGCTGAAAATGATAGTCCGAGGCGATGAGGATAACGGCTAGAGCGCGAGAAATGATTCTCACACAGCTGCAATAAGAGTAGAGCACTATTTCACTTAGTATGAGTGCGAGTGTGTCGAATGAGATCCGAGTTACGGACACTCTTGTAGTCGCAATATTTGCAGCGGAAGAGGTTCTCCCCAGTGTGGATGCGAGTGTGCCTCACAAGATCCGAGTTTCGGATGGTGGTGTAGTCGCAGTGCTGACATCTGTAGAGGTTTTCGCCAGTGTGGATGCGATTGTGCCGAGTTAAGTCGGACTTGCGTGCAGAGCTGTAGTCGCACAGCGGACATTTGTGGGGTTTGTCACCGGAGTGGATTTTGCAGTGTTCTACTAAGTGGGAACTGCGGGTTGTCTCGAAGTTACAGGATCTACACTGGTAAGGTTTCCCACCGTTGTGGACAGCAATGTGCTTCACCAGGACATTTCTATCGGTGGAGCTGTAATTGCAAACTGAACAACGGTAGTTCTTGGTGACCTTAGGAGTCTTGTGGACCTTCATGTGGTTGATCATGTCGGGTTTGTGGAGTGTCCGATGTTTGCACACAGAACACTTGTATGTGATTCTCTTTTTAGTTGGGTAGGGAGCAGGTTTCTCCGTATCGCTAGGTTTGACCTTCTCTGCTTTACCAGGCGCATCAGTTGTCATTTCCTGCTCTGTCTCAGGTCCAGTATAGTTAATGGTGCGGGCGCCTATCTTCTCCTCATTAAAGTCGTCCTCCTCATCGTCCTCTTCTCCGAGTGACTCACCCTCCACCATGCTCTCATCATACGGCTGGTACTCTTTCGTCGTGTTCATCTCTGTTTTGTAATCCATGTCCTTGAGATCATCCAGCGTGATCTCGCGTCCAACTTCCTGGTCCATGTTGTACTGCTGATCATCTCCCTCCATTTCTACACATTCCTCGTCCTCTTCCTCATCCTCCTCTTCCTCTTCCCTCTTATCGTCTGTCTTAACATCTTCCTTTTCTTCATCCAGTTCGTCGGTGTTGTTGGTGTTTTGATCGTTCTCAACCTCACCAGCCGTCACCTCCTTTTCATCTTTCACCACTTTATCGGGGACTGCTTTAGCGCCGTTGTCCAGAGGTGAGGTGTCCTGCTCCATGTCCATCATCTAAAATGGGAAAAGAGGTCAAGTTCAGTACAGAATGTGATACTTTGTGCAATCGGTACAGTTAGAATACTTTAATGTGGTGATCAAAAAGTGAGATTGTATTGTCTGAGAATATACGATAATTTTGTTAATTGGAAACAGCTGTAGCAGTAACTAATCGAGCATTGATAATAAATAAAATTTTCCAACGGAACAGCAATCTTCATATTTACCAATGAGACAAATTACAACAATAGAATCAAAATCTATCAAATTTAAATTACTATATCCCAAATATTATTTTGTTTATATGACTGATATGATGCGGATCATGATAATAAAACTACTTATCAACTTTCAATTTACCAAGACAAAAAGACAGAAATCGTACATTATTCAAGCATATTGCAGCCTCGTGCGTGTAAAAAACTAAATCAGATGAAGATTCAAGATACTGTTGAACGTTTGTCAGACAAACTTACTCTCATAATTCTGATACTTTCACCGAAAGTTTAAATGAACAAAACCAATTGACACATGAAAAAACTTTCAGTAAATCGAAGTCTTAACATCCGAACGTAACTAACAAATTCGCTCAGCACTCAACTGTTCAAAATTCTTTCCACAAGCTTTTATTCTACAATAAGTTAAATGACCACAAAATTCCAAGCCATTCAAATCCTTCCCGCGAATTGTGCACTACAAAACAACCACTTTACAAAACGCCCCAAAAACAAATGATCAATCTTTAATATCACCCCCGTCCACCACTAGGTCCTCCTCAATACCCAGCTCTTCCACAATGAAGTCCATCATCTCGTCCACTACGTCGCCCTGAACCGTGATCTCATCGTCTCCCGTCACGGACGATCCGCACGCAAACTTCTGACCGAACGCTTTGCCGCATTTCTTGAGGTTCATGTCGCACGTCTTGAGTCCCCTGACCAGGGTCACGTACTTCTTCCGAGCTCTCATGGACCGACCCACTATGACCTGTCTTGGTAGTTCTTGCTTTTTAGTGATGTTCTTCATAGCTTTACCTCCTCTCGTTTGTTTCTTTTTACTGTTGTTCAGAGACATTGCTTCTAACTCCTCCTGAAATAGTATGACTATTTTCAGCACCTATTTTCAATATACCCAATATATAACACCTATTTTCAATATATAACCTCAGGAATCAGGCTGCAAGTGTAACTGATAGAAAATTAAATTGTTTTTTCTCCTGTTTTGCCGATCATATTCTTGAGTTATTTTAGGATGGCGTCTAAGGTGCAAAACGTGTTTGACAAGGCCTTTAAAAAGGTGGACTGTTCATATTGTTGGTTAATTGAACAATAATTTCATTTGCACCACACCTAAGCAGGATGAGTGGGATTTAATCCATTTTTAAAGCTGTTCTTGTTATTAATACGATTGTCGAACTTACTCTTACCATAGCATGCTAATTGCTAATAAAAACGTACCATGGCCATGCATGGTACGTTGCGAATGTAGGCCAAAGTGTCCAAAGTTATCAAGGCCCCTTCCACTATATAAAAACCCAAATAGCATTCAAATGCACAAAGATGTTTTTATTTGTGTTTTCCTAATAACCTGAGTTTTATTGAGAATGAGTCTGGCAAAGTGTATCACCTAGTAACTGTAACCTAGTTACCTGAGTTTTATTGAGGATGAGTCTGGCAAAGTGTATCACCTAGTAACTGTAACCTAGTTACCTGAGTTTTATTGAGGATGAGTCTGGCAAAGTCATCAGGTAAGTTGTCCTCCATCCATTCCTTGCACCTGTCAAACAGTGGCCCATGTTCACAGTACTCTGGGGGAAGGGAGCAAACTCCGCAGTAGTTCACTTTTACTGGGTACTCTGTCACGGCCATACTGCAAGCAAGTGGAATGTTAGCAGTGGAATGTTAGCAGTGGAATGTTAACAAGTGGAATGTTAGCAGTGGAATGTTATTTGTAAACATCATAATTATAGGGAATTGAAAAGGACGTTATCGAATATATCAGTGCTGTTTTCAGTTAGAGAGAGAAATGTTTTATTTCAGGGTTGCAAGCCATCTTCATTATTTAAGTTGAGGGGCAGCTGGTCAGCCGGCGCAATTCCCACGAATATCGTCGCTTTTGGCAATAATGTCGTTTAAATTTTGATAAGAGATTAAAATGTCGTTTATCTCGTAATATTGTCATTAACAGAATAAAATGTCGTTTATCTTGTAATATTGTCATTAACAGAATATTAATGTCGTTTATCTTGCAATATAATTGTCATTTTAACAGAATATAATGTCGTTTATCTTGTAATATTGTCATTAACAGAATATAATGTCGTTTATCTTGTAATATTGTCATTAACAGAATATAATGTCGTTTATCTCGTAATATTGTCATTAACAGAATATAATGCCGTTTATCTTGTAATATTGTCATTAAGAGATTATAATGTCGTTTATTACCTAATAATGTCGTTTAAGAGGAGTGACATTGTGCCGGCTGACCAGCTGCCCTTGAGAAAACAGCAAGTATTCCAATTGAATAAAATAGAACCAATCTTAATTTACAGAATTATTTTCGAAATAATTGAATGAACTGAGTTTTTTTTTCATATCATAAATTGAACTTTAATTTCTATTAAAAATGTGTCACCTTAGGAACCCAAAAGGCCAAATGAAGCCGAACTCGCCACCTTAAAAAAGAACAAACAAACCACTTTACAGGAAGCACTAAAAAGCTGAAAACTGTCTTGAAGTGATCAGGTATTAACTCATTGTTATCTAAATACCAATCTACTTGAGGTACACTAGTATGGGAACATAGAACTGTCATTGATCAGTGATTAAACAAAGCAACAGTGAGACGTCACGTACAGTAACAACAACAACAGATGATTTGTTTTTCTAAAACTGAACCGTCTTAACAGGATTGACAACTCCAGCTTTCTTCAACACAAACGACTAAACGAAATGTAATCGCGGCCAGATCACGTGAAATCACATGAATCACACGAAACTTCACTCCAGATCACATGTAATACGCTGGTTTCTTGACTTGAATGCCCATATCGGCCAGTGCAGGCTGCAAATCCTCCATCCTCAGACAATTCTTCTTTTCCTTACTTTTCTTATTGCCGGAAGCACTGGACCCACCAGCAGGGTTACCCCGCATTTGAGAGTGTGTCAGAGCATCTGAAGCTACCTCTGTGATGAACTTCTGAGCTGCTAGTGACACTAGTCTTATCTGAAATTGAGAAAGTTACTTCTGAGCTGCTAGTAACACTAGTCTTATCTGAAATTGAGAAAGTTACTTCTGAGCTGCTAGTGACACTAGTCTTATCTGAAATTGAGAAAGTTACTTCTGAGCTGCTAGTGACACTAGTCTTATCTGAAATTGAGAAGAAAGTTCCGTGGTTACAAATATTTAGCGAAGGAAAAGTAAACGAAATGTTAGAAATATAGATATAATTTAACATGATCTACTGTTCGGCCTGTTGTTGGAGAATATAAGTGAGCACTGCCCATCTTGCTCATTAATAAAATCGAGGAAGATGAAACATATAATATGAAATACCAAAAGTGAAACTCAGCTCAGTAGAAACTACTTCACGGGGCTGACAAACATCGAAGCCTACATAAAACAGCGCCCACGTGCAAACAGCGCCCACGTGCAGCAGAGGTACTCACAATCCTGGGATCGGAGGTGTGGAGTCCTGCCTGAGAGAGATAGTGTGCTGTAAGGGAGTCCGGCAGGGTGGGCGTGTAATCGTCTAGCGTCTTGAAGAAGTTCAATAACTCGTCTCCTGATATCGGCTGGTTCATTACCTTTCCAAAAGTGTGAGTTAGCAAGATAGGGAGATGGGGAGACGGGATCTATCAATTTAATTTGGTAACATTAGTAAATCAATGATCATTTTTTACTTTTTTAGCCTGATGGGTGTTGGTAAAAAGGGTGGTAAAGTGTAGAAAACGTGTAACATTTCAGGAAAGTCTGTAAGCGTGAAGATAGTGAGGTATCTTAAAAGGAAAGTCTTTAAATTTAAATTTTATAACTTTAAGATAACAGTCTAGATGGTTTTGAGCAAGCAAAATGCAGCAGCAATGAGCCATGTTGGCTAAACTTCGCCGCTTATCTGTATAAATGAAGTTCAACATCTTTCATAGTTCGTATATATCACACAATAACACAAATTACACGGTCATAAAAAGATAATGCCCGTGTAAAGTAGGAACATCATTGATTTTCTGAAAATAAACATTCACTTAATTCTCAACGCCATCATTTAAAATTTACAAAATCCACAAACTGCGAAAATGCCAAGTAATCTGCCCATAACATAGTTACTACGTTAAAAACGTACATGAAACAGCAAAGAATTGGTATAAAGTAAAAACATCAATTCAAGTATCTTTAACTTCAGAAAAACTATTCTTAAATCTGAGCGACGGATTATTTGCTTTTTCCACGTTAGTTCTATGTAATTCTGACTTCTCATAGTGGATTTTCAACATATCTTCAGATTGAAAGCTTCTCCGACACACCCAACAAACTGATTCTTTTGAAGAAGCTGAAGTAGAAGCTACTTCTGAACTTGGTTCTGAAGGGGTCGGCTCGACGGTATCTGCAATTGCCTGAACCTCCGGAACATACGCTACGTAATTATAAGTGTTCTTATCACTGTCCGAGTCCGAATCACTGGGATCTATCCCATATTTCTCATACAGAAAGTTCAAATTCTTCTTTATCCTCTTATTTTTCCGTTCTCTTCTCTCACTCTTCTTCTCCAACTGCTTCTCGTGTTTCTCCTGTTTGCGAGCCAGATGTTCCTTAAACTCATTAGTCATTCTACTTATCTCCTCCTCCACATCCTTCCAGTCTTTAGTGTACCACTTATCAGTTTGGTGCACTAGATCAGCTATATCCTGGGGTTTTCTCTTTTTTCTCTTGCGACGAGTGTGTTTCTGGTGGGGGTGGATGGATTGGGAAGTCTTGCGGAGTAGCTGGGTTTGTTTGTACTCGTCGTGAAGTTCTTCAAACGATTCGGATAGGATCTAGGAGGGTTCATGGACTGTTATTCTAGTATTCTTTATATTATATATTTATACTTTAGCGCTGAAATATACCTAGGTTTACAACTAGTAGATGTAGGCGCATTGTTAAGAAAGAAACGTGTTTTTGTCTTGTTTAACACTAAATTGAACACCAAATTGAACACCAAATTGAACACCAACTGTATACCTGGAAAGCTTGTGTGGCAAGATCAGATTTGTTCTTATCAGGATGAATTCTAACAGCTATCTTCAGATAAAGGCTCCTTACTAACTCTGGGTCCACTTCTTCAGTGGGTAATTCAAAACATTCGAAAGGAGTTTCAGCGTTTATGATCTTTTGACAGGCAACTGTATCAGCATCCATTGTCAAGCTGATACTTTCTGGATTAGACTGTTTTATCGTCCACTTTATCTTGATAGAATATTACAATATATAAACTAATTAATGAGATATATAAACTAATTAATGAGATATATAAACTAATTAATGAGATATATAAACTAATTAATGAGATATAGGGGGGGTGTCATGTCCGTCTATGTCCGCCTATGTCCTGTCCTTTTTGGATTCTATGAGACAACGGACGTGTTTTTTGGGACATTGGCGGACACGGACGGACATTGGCGGACTCGGACGGACATTGGCGGACTCGGACGGACATTGGCGGACTCGGACGGACATTGGCGGACCCGGACGGACATTGGCGGACTTGGATGGACATTGGTGGACATTAGCGGACATTGGTGGACATTAGCGGACAAACATTTTGAGGACTGAAGAGTACTGAAGAGTACTGAAGAGTACTGAGGAGGATGGCTAAGAAGGATGGCTGAGGAGGATGGCTGAGGAGGATGACTGAGGAGGATGACTGAGGAGGATGACTGAGGAGGAGGAGAAGGATCAGGAAGACCCAGGACTGAGGAAGAGGATGGAGGACTGAGGAGAAGGATGAGGACTGAGAAGGACTGAGGACTGAGGAGGAAGAGGAGGAGGATGAAGAGGAGGAGGAGGACCCAGTGCAGGAGGAGGACCCAGGAGGAGGACTCAGGAGGAGGAGGAGGACTGAGGACGAGGAGGAGGAGTAGGAGGAGGACTGAGGAGGGGAGGAGGAAGAAGGATCAGGAAGACCCAGGACTGAGGAAGAGGATGGAGGACTGAGGAGAAGGATGAGGACTGAGGAGGACTGAGGACTGAGGAGGAGGATGAAGAGGAGGAGGAGGACCTAGTGCAGGAGGAGGACCCAGGAGGAGGACTCAGGAGGAGGAGGAGGACTGAGGACGAGGAGGAGGAGTAGGAGGAGGACTGAGGAGGGGAGGAGGAAGAGGACTGAGGAGGATGACTCAGGAGGAGGAGGACTCAGGAGGAGGACTGAGAAGGAGGAGGACTGAGGAGGATGGCTGAGGAGGATGACTGAGAGGGAGGAGGAGGAGGAAGAGGAGGAAGAGGACTGAGGAGGAGGAGGAGAAGGACTGAGGAGGAGAAGGAGGACCCAGGAGGAGGAGGACCCAGGAAGGGGACCCAGGAAAAGGCCCCAGGAGGAGGAGGAGGACTGGGGAGGAGGAGAACTGTTGAGGACTGATGAGGAGGACTGAGGAGGAGGAGGAAGAGTAGGAGGAGGACTGAGGAGGGGAGGAGGAAGAGGACTGGGGAGGATCAGGAAGACCCAGGAGGACCCAGGAGGAGGAGGAGGAGGACCCAGGAGGAGGACCCAGGAAAAGGCCCCAGGAGGAGGAGGACTGGGGAGGAGGAGAACTGTTGAGGACTGATGAGGAGGACTGAGGAGTGAGGACGAGGAGGAAGAGTAGGAGGAGGACTGAGGAGGGGAGGAGGAAGAGGACTGGGGAGGATCAGGAAGACCCAGGAGGACCCAGGAGGAGGAGGAGGAGGAGGACCCAGGAGGAGGACCCAGGAAAAGGCCCCAGGAGGAGAAGGAGGACTGGGGAGGAGGAGAACTGTTGATGACTGATGAGGAGGACTGAGGACGAGGAGGAAGAGTAGGAGGAGGACTGAGGAGGGGAGGAGGAAGAGGACTGGGGAGGATCAGGAAGACCCAGGAGGAGGAGGAGGAGGACCCAGGAGGAGAAGGAGGACTGAGGAGGACTGAGGAGGAGGACTGACGATGACTGAGAAGGAGGAGGACTGAGGAGTACTGAGGAGGATGGCTGAGGAGGATGGCTGGGGAGGATCGCTGAGGAGGATGACTGAGGAGGATGACTGAGGAGGATGACTGAGAGGGAGGAGGAGGAGGACTCAGGAGGAGGACTTAGAAGGAAGAGGAGGAGGACTCAGGAGGAGGACTTAGGAGAAATGAGAAGGAGGACTGAGGAGGAGGAGGAGGAGGAGGACTGAATAGGAGGAGGAGAATGAGGGGGACTGGGAGAGGACTGGGGAGGAGGAGGACTGATGAGAAGGATGAGGAGGAGGACCCAGGAGGAGGAGGACTGAGGACCGAGGAGGAAGAGGAGGAGGATGAAGAGGAGGAGGAGGACCCAGGAGGAGGAGGACTGAGGAGGAGGACTGAGGAGGACTGAGGAGGACTGAGGAGGATGGCTGAGGAGGATGACTGAGAGGGAAGAGGAGGAGGAGGAGGAGGAGGAGGACTGAGGAGGACTGAGAAGGAGGAGGGGGAGGACTGAATAGGAGGAGGAGGAGGGGGACTGGGGGAGGACTGAGGAAGAGGATGGAGGACTGAGGAGAAGGATGAGGAGGACTGAGGAGGACTGAGGACTGAGGAGGAAGAGGAGGAGGATGAAGAGGAGGAGGAGGACCCAGTGCAGGAGGAGGACCCAGGAGGAGGACTCAGGAGGAGGAGGAGGACTGAGAACGAGGAGGAGGAGTAGGAGGAGGACTGAGGAGGGGAGGAGGAAGAGGACTGAGGAAGATCAGGAAGACCCAGGGGGAGGAGGAGGAAGAGTAGGAGGAGGAAGCATCTAAATGTTATTTCCATTTTTGTCCGTTTTTGTCCATTTTTGTCCGCTCTATTTTTTGTCCGTTTTGAAAATATAGGGTACCGAACGGACAAAAAACATGATCCCCTATTTAACAGCAAAAATTGAACATTTTATTTAGCAATTTAGGTGTCCATTAATGTCCGCTTATGTCCGTCTATGTCCGCCTATGTCCGTCTATGTCCGCCTATGTCCGCCTATGTCCTGTCCTTTTTGGATTCTATGAGACAAGCGGACATAGACGGACGTGACACCCCCCCCCCCCCCGATATATTAACTAATTAATGAGATATATAAACTAATTAATGAGATATCTGACAGGCAATGTTTTTAATTTCAAGTGTACGAAAACAATGAAAAAGTCGGGCATCTTTTTAATTTAAAACAAATTTAATGGCAGTACATTTTTATAATTGTCGAAGCCCGGACCCAAATAATAACATAACAAGTTTAGCATTAAAAATTATCATCGCAACATTTAAACAAATAACATCGGTTACAAAAAATATAAACAATAGAAAATGGCTCATCCAAAAATATAACATAATTTCACCGAAAACGTCTGACATTCTCAACCGAAAAGTTTCAGTCACCCAACAAAATTTCAAACCATATCACGGCCCGTGATGTCTACCGTCAAACACCACGAAGTGCTTGAACCAAATTTCTGAAATCTAACTAACATGCTAATTATCGAATTACCTTTAAATTAATCAAACATTTTTGAAAGCAGGATGTTTGTGGATAGTCCGGTTGGAAGTAGGAAGGAAGTGTCTGAATGACAGCATCACAGCGCACATGAGGAAGAGGTAGAGCTTGTAGGGAAGAGGCGGGGAGGAGTAGAGAGGGGAGAAGGATAAACCTCGTCTTATACCATCCCGTAACTAAACGAAAGTCTGGTCAAATACTTTTTATGACAATTGGAATTTTGCCAAAACAAATTAGGACCTGTTTACGACTCACAATGGAGCAGGCTTGGGCTCAATGGTTTAGCATCATCATTCCAGATTTAGTTAAAAGTTGTACACATAACCAAGTTTGCTATCTTTATAAAGGTTTTGTCTAGTTAGAAGCAAAGGTTCTGCTCCCCGTATTAGAGGTTATCAGCTCCATTTCATAGATTTGTGTCACATATTATATTTAAAAGGCAACTCTGATCAACACTACATATTATATCGGTAGTGAAACAGTTAGCTTGGGCCCAGTTAACAAAACATGCCTTGAGAAAAGTCTAGTGTGCTGATAACATAATATTTTGTGCAGAGTTAGAATTGCTCTTACATGCAGGCAACATTCAACAAGGTAACCAGGTACAGGTTAAGGTTTTTTCTACCCAATTATCAAAGTTGCCACAATAATCCTGGTAAACACTCCCTAGACCACACCAAATACAGCTACAGGGTGTTTCAAGACTCGTGTCCAGATTTGAAATAACATTTTTCTATTATTTATGAAGTACCTGATGAGAAGATATGGCGACTGAAAGAAGAACCAGACTAGATCTAGGTTTGTAGTAGTAACACATTAGTAGTGCTATCAGGAGGACACTGTTGTGCAGTACTCCACGGTATGGCGCGTGCAGCGCGTCCTGTCGGGGTTAGGACTTCTTGGTAATGTTGTTATCAATAATTGATTGTCTCATTACTAATACTAATTAACTAATCGTGTGTGGAGAATTTCATGACAGCAGAGGTTTTTGTAATGGTCAGAGCTAGAGTAAGCTAGTAAAATATAAAATGAACTAGAAAAATCTACATTTGATTAAGATCAGGCTGTACCTGAAGATTTAGTGAGCCAGCAGCGATAAAATGGTCCAAATCCACGGCACAGCACACGATCCCACACGCAACACTCTGCAGAATAACAACCGTGTGTTTTGCCAGGCCGTTACCCACATTGTCACGTGACTTAGCATCGTTATGGCAACACTCCACGTGACTCATGTATCCTAGCAACCAGATGATAACCGCCAGAGAGCCATGTACAAGGTTGTCTGTGATGGCCCGGAGTAACACCCCCTGAAAAATAGAGAGACTATATAACATACTGACAAACAAGCAGCCTGTCAAGTTAGCTGCAATATACTTTATTGAAACTTACTGGAAACCGAAGTTTTTGCAAATATATTCATTTTTGCAAGAATTTATTATATTTGCAGAACACGCACACTAACTATCACTTACGTCTTACATATTTATTATTCTTAATTATTAAAACTAATAACTATTCAAGTATTAATGTCAAGGTGCCCACTGCACTAACAACATGTTGTCACCAAACACTCGTACTAATAGCTGCCACCCAGTCAATGATTCCAAGATCACGTGATCAATATCTAGGGCCCTCTCTACCGTCCTCTCCAAAAATAGAATCTAGACACTAAACGACTTACAATTGCTATCTCCTCAAGCAAATCTTGATACATTTAAAATTATATAAGAATCTGTGGTGCTTCCCTAAATCTCTTACTTACATGACTTACATGTACTTAAACTAACATAAAATTACTTACATTACTTACACTTACTAACACGACTTACATGTACTTAAACTTACTTACATGACTTGAGTTGAGGTTTAGCAGTAAGTCCCCGTAATAACACGATGTTACCAGTATACCAATAGATAAAATCTTGAGGTACATCACCGTAATACTCACAATATCATGTTCTGTAGAGAGTGAGGTTAAGTAAACAGTATGCGGTGTTTGTCAATAACTTGTGGGATCAGATGTTGTACAATATCATGTTCTACAGAGAGTAGGGGTAAATAGTGGGGTAAGTGAGGGTAAGTAGTGGGGTAAGTGAGGGTAAGTGAGGGTAAGTAGTGGGGTGAGGGTAAGTGAGGGTAAGTAGAGGGGTAAGTACTAAGAAGTATGTATGTTTGTTTTTCAATAGCATATCTTGTGGGATTAGATATGTTTATGATATTAAAATGTAATGTTGATGAAACTGAGTTTGACGATCTTCGCCTTGAGCTGTGATGATGTGTGAATGGATAAAACACAGAAACGAGTTCGAATATAAAATTAGAAGTATTTTACTGGTGTAAACGTTGGAAAACTACTATACTATACCCACAGCGCCAAAATTCATATTAATAAATCAATAACTTAAAAAATAATAAAAACCTCTTAAAATAAAGGTCGTCAATCAATTTAGGTTCAAAATCAAAATTCTAATAAATTAATTTTCCTCAAAAAGGTTATTATTCAGTTGGCAAAGGGCGTGTGATCAATCCCTCGTCAGCTTTGGTTTCTACTTTCCAATCGTTAGAAGCAGCTATCATGGGTATTATCCGCTTCAGAAACTTTATCATCTTGTCACCGTTACTCCTCAGCGTCTGCAAAGTTACAGTACAACTGTTAAATGGTGTTATTTTACGGCATTGGAGCAAGTCGATTTGTTCAAAGTCACTTCCGCAACCGTAACAAACCTTAAGACTTAAGACACTAACGTGCATTACAATAAAACAAAAACGAGTGACAAAAAACCTTGACAATTTCTTCAACAGTAACAGGTTTGGCATCTTGTTTCCAGGCATCGTAATCTGTAACCATGGCGATAGCAACAAAAGGCAAGTTCAGCTCCTTTGCCAGCTGAGCTTCAGGGACTTGTGTCATCCCCACTAGATTTGCTCCCCACTGCTTGAACATCAGACTCTAAAAGAGAGGCATCAATAAAACTCTTAATCAATTTGTGATATAAATCCCAATTCATCTCTGATATGATATCAAACTTTTGCCACCTCAAATTATGAAGTAAAATCTATGGTCATGGTACTCTGGCAAACTGAACAAAACATTGATGAACAAATAAAGAATTAATCTAACCTCAGCTCTAGAAGAGAATCTGGGTCCTTCAATAGCTACACACGTTCCAGTTTGGTGAAGAGGAAACCCTAGCTCTTCACTCGAATCTATTATAACCTATTGAATTTCTTTGTCATCATCACAAACCATGAGCTTAACAGTTGAAACTTTAATAAAGCATTGTATTTTGGTATTCATAATTACCTAACTTCCTAAAACGGTTAAAACATGTCAAGTTTTTAAGGTATTATAATAGTTTCACGAGTGATCATGGAGAAAAGAGATGAAACTCGTTTCAGACTTCATCTGATCTAGGTGGGTACGCAATAGTTTCACAAGACTAATGTTAACATAGCTATGTCAACTTAGAGTCTAAAGAAAATTCGGAGACAAACCTGTCTAAGTTTGGTATCGTAAGGGTCTCCAAAGGAAGCATGGTACACGCCCTTAAAACTTGTATCCTTGTTGTCATAATACGTCAAGTTTCTCTTCTGTGTCCTGTCAATGACCTGGTCGAGCAGAATGAAATCTCTAGGTTTATATTCTTCAACCAGCGAACCTACACTGTGAGTAGCTATCACTAAGTCACAGCCTGGGGAGACAAGATATATTACACCACTTCTACCATAATATGATATTGTGAGACACTGAATCGAGATGTCAAGGTTTAATGATTTATCCCTGATATTGAACTTTTTCAACCGAATTCTAAACAGAGTACATACAAGTAAACAAGACTGTGAGAATGGAAACAAAAATTTACAAATCTGTAGAACAAACCTGCTTGTTTAAGAGCTAGAAAGTTTGCTCTGTAGTTGACATTACTAGGATTCCATTGATGTTGTCGGCCATGTCTCGCTAGAATTACACACTCAACTCCTTCTATAACTCCTTCAAAATAAAAGTTTTGTTATGAACTTAAAATCAACAATTTAAAAAGGCTGATTTTATGTAAGAAAGATGGATCCAGAGGAACTGCCAGCACTGATCTAAATTATTTATCGCAGGGCATTCTAGAAGTCTGCATTCTAAAAGTCAAGGGTGGAGGTTGTTTGACCAACCTGGAATCAGTGAGCTGATCCTGACAAGCTTTTTATAAGTAAAGTAAAGATAATATCCTAGTACCAGAGACCAGGTTGTCTAGGGGCTCCCCATAGTCCGCTGGTAGTCCATTAGCAGCTGTTCTTGTAGCACTTTTATCAAAGACAAGTTCTGATCTAGTGAGTAGTATGTCGGGATCGTCTAACCCGGTTCCTCCGAGGATGCCTATCTTCATTGCTACAGATCAGTTAATGATAATGTTATGATATTTCGTAAGGAATTCAATATGAGCGTGCCTTTTTTCTGAATCCTCTTTGATTTGAAGAAAGATAAAAATATTACGAGAAATAGAAAAAATTCACTATCAAAGTGTAATCAGATCTTGTTTTGTAAACAGTATACTTTAATTCCAAAACAGCAGAACTTAGAAATTATAAATGAGATATTGTAACATTTCAAACTTTGTTTAACCCAAATCCATGCAAATTCTGAAAAAACAGCAACACGAAATTATTTTTAAAAATGTATCATGCTCGTCCTTAGCCCCAAATTTTGAGCTAGACTCTAACTGAGCTTGGCATTGCTTGCCGTAAACTGTACACTGTACATGTACATTGTACATTGTACAAGAGTACAAAGTAAAAAACAAAGCCACTACTTTAATTGTTAGTATTTTTTTAGTTTATAGATCATCGATTTCAAAGCATTGGAAAGGTGAGTAACTTTGTGTCCTCCGCCTCAGTTGTGATGATTTTCTGCAACTGTTTGAACTGGGGGTGGTCTGAACCTCCCGCTAAAGTTAGGATCATGCTCTCACTTGTAGTTAGGAACACCCCTGCTTGCCTCATTCTCTGTGAGAACAATATTTATAAATATGTTAGTTTTTCTGGAATGTGTTGAAGGCAACTCTAGAAAAATAGAGTTAATAATATTGTAAAATGTACATGTGATCAAATTTACAACACTACTATAAGCATCTGTAATCTATATAACAATCTATATTATATAATGGATAAAATCATAAGAATATGAAATGAAATGAAATAAAGTATTTTTATCCCGCTTATATCAACAATCAAACAAGCAAATAAAGATTGCCGATGTCAAAGCGGATGGCTTTGCGATATAATCCAAAAACTAGATACTTAATATATGAATATACTAGTAACAAATTTAAGAACCAAAAGTACTTATATGATTTTAAAATTGCAAACCTGAAAAGCAAAGACTCTGTCGGTGTCAGTTCTTGAGGAAGTAGCATCCACGATAACATGAACTTCATAACCGAGCGATATCAGATCAATAGCTGTTTGTTGTATACACACGTGAGCCTATCAGAGAATTTTATGATCGTTATCAACGCTTGTCGCTACAGTAATTATAAGATCAATTGTAGGCACAGATCATTATTATATATTCAAAGTCTGAGTGGCAATCTGTTAATAAATACAGTTGTAGATTATTACATACCTCTATACCAAAAAGAACAATTGATTTTCGGGTCTTTTTTTCTTCAAGATAAGATTTAACTTCCGGAATCATCATGCTGAATTTTGTTTTGGGGCAGTTGATAGAGCAGTGGTCTATATCCAGCTCAGAACAGGTGCTTCCCAAACCTGACAAAAAGAAGCTTTTATTCGAGGTAGCTGCTACTGCTCCATGATTCAGGAATTAATTGCGGATTAAATCAATCACATATTTTGAAATTGAAAACGATTATAAGTTAATTGTTTTTGTTTATTAATTAGTTCAGCCTTAAAACTGCCAAACTCGGTAATATTACCCACTTCACCTTTAGGGTACTGTTCTGTAACTACCAGGGGAATGTCAAGAAGTTTTGCACTTTGTAACATTCTGTTGGCATTGGACAGAATAGCTGGGAAGTGTCTGATGGAAGGTCTGAACTTGTCCTGCATGTCACAGCAGAACATGGCCGTTCTGGATGCTATCAATCGGCCCACTGACATCCTAACAAAACTCCACAGTACAGTGTCATGTCAAAACAATAGCATGCATTATATTTACTGAAAAGGCAAAAATGTCTTCTTCTAGTTATTGAATAAATAAAACTCCAAACACTAGATCAAAATATGCATTAAACATACAAATTTTCAAGATAAAAATTAAGGCCTTATGTTTAACAATTATGACTCTTATTAATATTTAAAAGCAACTGAAGTTTTATGCACAGTATAAAAAGAATCAGGTAAAAAGAATCAGGTAAAATTCCCATTTACGTTGTAAGGTTATCATCATCACACTATATATTTGTTGTCTTTGGTGATAACTTTTTTAGAAACTGTGTCCAATGAATGTGTCAAGCAAACATGAGACATTATAGTGGAAATATCAGCTGATCGTATATTTGGACATAATTTACATCTGAACCATCTTTGATTGTCAACCTGAAAAGAATAATTTATTTTTAAATGCGTAAGAGGGGAACCACACGACAAGAGTTCAGACATTTTGAAATGTAATTAATATACTATAATAATAAAGAAACTACTAATTACATCACCTCTTCATAATAGATGGCACTTTGGTTGCTGCTTTCGGTTGACTTTTGAGCAGGTACATTGAGTGGAGATATCTTACTGTGTGAACTAGCCATTTTATGGCTCGATATTTGGTTTGAATGACTTCGTTCATGCATCTTTAGTGCATTTTTAGAATTGTATTCCTTTGCACAAATAGTGCACTTGTTCTCAATAGTTTCCTCTGTGTGTTTTTGCTCATGCGATTTCAAGGCACTTCTGCTTTTGTAGGATTTGTTACAAAATCGACATCCAAAACCATTTTCATGTCCCCTAATGTGATCATTTAATTGACTGACGGTTCTGAATGATTTTGTACAGTTGTCCTTTGAACACGTTAGGTCCTTTACACCTGACAATATTAATTTATAACATAACTTTCTGATACAGTTTGATTATAATTCCAGTGATTTGTGCTTACTTACTAGATACTTGCAAGAATCATTAAAAATATCAGTAAACTTGGTTTGTGCTGAGAGTGTAACAATCTAAATTATAGTTAATTTCATAACAATGTTAAAATAATGCATTTTTGTTCATAGTATACCTTTATGGGCCTTGACGTGATCAAGATAGGTGTTCCAATAAGGAAACGTTTTATGGCATATCTTGCATATATGAATGTTCCCTCCTTTACTGTTGTCATTAGTGACTTGCAAATTGCCAAACATAGCAGCATGATTTAGTTTTATATGCTTATCTTTCAACCAGGAGTGTTTGAACGATTTGCTACATAGATGGCATTGATACGGCTGCTCATCTGTAAAGTAAACATTATATTGTCATTAACTGATATTGTAATTGACACAAATTAACATCACTTTTAATTTTAAAACAATGTGATCACATTGAACTATCAAAATTTCTGTTTAGTCATTGCAGTGTTTGGTGCACAGCTGCAACTAAAAGAAAAAAGAACTACTAGAGCAATAAATGAATAGAATCAAGGTACAGACAAACCTGAGTGTGACTTCAGATGTCTAATGAACAATGTTTTAGACCCAAATTCCTTAGTGCATTTTTCGCAGAAATGGAATGTTGATGTTCCACGTGACTTATGTACTTTTGATTTTCTAGCATCTTTGCGTTTAGGTTTGATCACAGATGTGGATGGTTGACTGGGAGTGGGTACTTCTTCAGACTGCAACACAAATGAGAAATTCCCTGAAAATTAACATGATTTTGTATCAATAGTAACAGAAATGATAATCTCGAATCCATGAAATGCATTTCAATAAGCTATAAATGAACTCTAAATGATATTAATAAATGTAAGAGTGTCAAAAGTACAGCAGCTTAAAAAATATACTATGCTGTCCAAATTGAGGACATTTAGTAATTTAGAACATCACCCAGTGTCATTCAATCTTGGCTATAGTCTTTGAGGATCAAAACAAATTCATCAAGACCCTTTTGTTTTGTTTTGTCTAGGCCAAATTTTTTAATCCCTGCTGGATCCATTCTAATCTTTGGCTTTTAACACGTATTTATATTTTTCTGATTATATAGAGACAAATTTACCTAAACAAAGAGCATCATTGTACTTCGTTGATTCATATTGATCTATCAATATTTGCACCGGGATGGACCAAGCTTTATCTTCTGGATCAGGACATTCCGTGGATATGATTAAGTCTTGTAAGTCTTGTAAATTACTAGGCTCCATTCCTGAGATTAGTAGCAAGTTAATGTTAAAAACTTGTCAGTACAGATTAAGCACAATCAACACTTCATGTGCTAGAAAGTAGCAGATATTTGAAAGCTTTTAAAACAAAATCTCCTTGATCCCTCTAGTAATAGGGAGGCCGTTGCGCTACTTAATAAATAATGGAAACAATCATAGTATATTCTGATGTATTGTAATAGAACAAAAGGAGAAATATAGATATCAAGTAAAATGTAAGTACATCCTCTTCAATCTTAAGCCACCGCAATTTTTCAAAGGCAGAAGCTGTGTTATTTTAGTAATGTAAGATATGGCATAATTGTAGAGATTCCTTCTTTTTTTGCGTTGCTAAATGTCGGTTCATGGGATTTTTCTGCCACTGTTCCCATCCAAGGAAACATATTGTTAATGTTGATAATGTTGAGAATATTAGAGAGGATTTGGCTTAACTCGAACAGTGGGAAGAGATTCTCTTATAAATGCGACCCCTGTAAATAGACTATTGCATACGAATTGAATGCTCACAGTATCATGGTATCAAGTATCACAAGTCGAATGGTACATTAACGGAATCCACCTTTCTTGAAATTGTTGTTCTCTTGGAAGTAGTCAGATTTGGGAGATCTAGTGCTTGTAATAACCGATCTGAAGTGCCTACGAGAAAAGAGTCTTTACCAACCAGATATGGAATTAATGTAAGTCACGGAAGCATTGTAAATTTGTTTAAGTTTAGATATCATGGGAAAAGCGGATACAAGCGGAGTTATTGTATTGTCTGTTAAGAAAATGAATTTTGGGCATACAGGAGGAGTTTTTAAGCTAAAAAGGAAAAAATGAAAAGGTTTCGACCAAGAAAAGACTGGCCACCCATTGAAATAGACTAAAAGCTCAGGTTTAATCCAAACTCGATTGTAGTTTCGTCGTCTTCAATTCGGAAGGGTCCCCCCATCTAAAAATCATTTAGATTAAGGATTAAATAAAAAGGGGCCTTGCCAAAAAATCCTGAGTCACGGAAGGACCCTCCTTCAAATTAAAGTGTTTGTGTTTATACTGTAAACTACATATACCGATGAAGTATGAGCGCTTTTCAAAATGTTGACAAAGGAAAGGAAACCAGGACATAAAATAAAAATAATAGTTGTAGCAAAGCAAAGGGATTATAAAACGAGCAACTGTGCTTGATCAAAATTGATTTACCTTTTTTTATACATCAAAATTATCCAAACAATATACACATAATTGTCACAATGACCCTTTATAAAAACAACCCTTCAAAAAATAAAAATATTCCCTATCTCAAATATTGGGAGAAACATTTAAAAATCACCCTTGACATTGTGGTTCCAAATTCAAATCTAACCCATTTATATCAGTTTTAATACTTTCAACACTACTATATAACAAATAATTTGAGGTATGACACGCGGAAAGAGTACACGATCCAGAAATGTCAAGAGAAGTCCAGAAAAGATCGGTGGGACAACAGATAATGGTGAAATTGACGACGAAGAAGATCGCAGCTGTGAATGTAGAAAATATATTGAGGAGGAGTTTTCTTTGGCATGTGCAACTTGCGAAATGTACTGGCACTACTGCTGTGTTGGGCTTACAGGATTAACGCAGGAAGAAGGTGACCGCTTGACTAACTGGCGCTGCCAAAATTGCTTTATCTCCCCCCACATCAAGGGCACGAGGAGCCAGTCCACAAATCCAGACAGTGAAGAAACCAAGACCCTGAGAAATGTTATTAGAGAAGAACTTGAGGCCCTAACTCCGTGTATTAGAGGAATTGTTGAAGATTCTGTGAGTCATACCAGTTCTTCTAATGATTCATCTGAAAAACCAAAAGAAATAACAAAAATAGTGAACCAGGCTTTCAAATCCTGGGCAGATGTGACTGCAAATAGTCAAAAGAAAGTTATTGAAGAAATGAGCATACAGCAAGCTTCACAAAGTGTTGTCAGTAAAGTTCAGACAAAGATGCACACTGATGCATATGAGCGGAATTTAAGGAAGCTCAATCTGTGTGTTTTGAATGTACCAGAGAGCAAGAAAGCTAACTCCAAGCTACGTCAGGAAGAGGACTCGAATTTCTGCAAGGAGACATTAAAGATTGAAAAAAGTGACTTTATCAGTTGCCATCGTGCAGGTAAAGTGGATTCAGACAAGCCAGACTCCTGTCGGCCATTGATCATCCAGACAGCTGACCAGGAGTCAGTTAACTATTATTCCAACCATGGCAAGGGCTGGAAAGAGTCATCATACTGGATAAATCTGGATCTCTGCAGAGCAGACCGAGAGATCCGTTTTTTAGCCAGAGAAGAGAGGAAGAAGAGGCGGGAAGAAGCAGAGAAGAAAAAGACAGAGAAGAAGGCGAAGAAGAAGTAAATAGCAGTAACAAAGAATGTAGTCAGCCCATGAATATTTTTTATACTAATGCTAATGGACTATTTAATAAAATTGATGAACTAAAATGTATTCTATCAGTTTATAAATCTATTCATGTAATCTGCATTACAGAAACTCATTTTAATAGTGATATTTTAGATGCTGAAATTTTTATTGAAGGTTTTAGTATGTTTAGAAAAGACAGAGATTTTAAAATCGATAACTCCACTAGCAACATAAGTGGAGGTGCAGGTTCTATTATTTATATTAAAAACAGTTGTAATGCTTCATTAGTGAGCTCATTTTTAAAAGCACCAGACTCTTTAGCTATTAATGTCAATACCTCTGGTGGATTGATTAGTATTTGCTGTATTTATAGGTCTACTTCTTTGAATTTAGAACAGAACAATATGTTATTATCTTGCATCAAGAACATATCTAGTGAAAAGAATGTTTTTGAAACCATTATCATAGGAGATTTTAACCTACCTAATGTATCATGGGAAACTGGTAGTGTAAATAGTGGTATTTCTAGTAAGAATCAGGTTTTAATGATTCAACAAAAGTATATTGATTTATTTAATGACAGTGGTTTGACGTGGTACTTTACTAACGAAACAACCAGAAGACGGCTTGTGAAAGATACTCTCCAGGAGAGTCTTCTTGATCAGGTTTTGTATACAAATGATGCTCTTGTCAACGGTTGTAAGATCGTTTCTCCGCTTGGCAAAAGTGATCATGTTGGCATACTTGTCGAACTGGTTGTTTCGCCCAATACTAACAAAAGTCCCAAACAAAAGATTTTAAAGCCTATTTGGGGTAAGATTTCCTCAGAAGAGTTATTTAACTTTAGTATGAATAATATTGACTGGGATTATAGTTGTAAAAGTAATGTTCAAGATATGTGGGTTGAACTACATGGTAAATTGGAGTCTGTTGCTGCAGCTGTCCCAGCTGCTTCGGTTTATCTCGACAACAGACCTGTCAAGTTGCCATGGAGTACAACTGCACTTAAAAGAATGAGGAAGAACAAGGACAGAGCATGGGCTGAATTTGATATTAATCCTTCGTATATTAACTTGAGCTGTGCAAATAGCAAGCAGCATAATTTTGAGGTGGCAGAGATTAAAGCTAAAGTAAATTATGAAAAGAAGATTACATCTAATTTAAAACAGAATTGTAAATCTTTTTACTCGTATTTGCGTAATAAACGTCAAGTGAAATCAAGTGTTGTTTCTTTAGATAGAGGAGATGGTACACGCACAGATAGTTCATCTGAGTCAGCTGAGGTACTTGCTAGTGCCTTTAGTTCTGTGTTTGTGCGTAAACCACCTGGCCCTCTTCCCCAAAATGAGAGTTATAACAAAGAGGTGATTGATGATATGGAAATTAGCAGTTCTGATATCAAGAAGCAGCTTTTAAAGCTTAATGTTTTAAGAGTTCTGGTCCGGATGGCGTTCATCCAAAGTTGTTGAAATCCTTAGCATACGATGAAATGTTTGTTGAAGCTGTTACTAAATTATTTGTTAAATGTTCAGAAACAGGAGTCCTGCCTGACATTTGGAAGACAGCATCTGTTGTAGCATTATTCAAAAAGGGTGTTAAATCTGATCCCTTAAATTATAGACCTGTCTCATTAACTTGTATTTTGTGCAAAGTGTATGAAAAGTTGGTGAGGGCACATTTATTAACATATTTAGAAGAACGAATTTCAAAGCATCAGCATGGATTTGTGAAGGGTAAATCTTGTCTATCTAATCTCTTAGAGACATTTGATAATATTCTTGATATTTTAGATGAAGGTGCTCCTGTTGATCTTTTATATTTTGATTTTAGTAAGGCTTTCGATACAGTCCCCCACTTTAGACTTTTATCTAAATTGGAGGGGTTTGGGGTCAAGGGAAAAGACTGCGTTAACGACCAAAATTTTCCCAATATGCAATTATTATTTTGCTTCTAAAATTCTCTGATAATTAATAATATATCGTGACATGTAATTGTAAAATAACAAACCTCGCGCGCGCGGCGCTTACATCTGCACCTGAGAATCTCTCAGCAATGTGTGGCTGTCTGCGCGGCGGGCTGTGTATTGTGTTTATAGCTGAATTTAAATTTAGATTTATTTGTAAATGTATAATAATATTAAATATGTATTGATTGTTTTGTGGTAAATAAAAATTTTGTTTTACAAAAAAAAAAAATTTTGTTTTACAAAAAGTTTTAGATGTTATAAAAGACTTTCTGACAGACAGAACCACGAGGGTTTGTGTAGAAGGTCAATGGTCTGAGGTGAAACACGTATTATCTGGTGTTCCCCAGGGATCAGTATTAGGTCCTTTGTTATTTATTCTTTATATAAACGATTTACCTGACAATGTTAAAAATAAGATTAAATTATTTGCAGATGATCTCAAATTAGTTTGTAATGCAGCTAACCATAAAAGTGTATCTGATGATATTTTAGAACTCGAAATTTGGGAGAGTATATGGCACTTAAACTTCAATCTTGCCAAGTGTAAAGTAGTCCATATTAATCTGAATAATAATCCTAACTCGAATTATATTGTAAATGGAGTAGAACTAGAAGTATCTGCACAGGAAAAAGATTTGGGGGTTATTACCCATAGCTCCTTGCTTTGGAATGAACAGATAAAAGCATGTATTTCTAAAGCAAATCGTATGATCTGCTGGATTGTAAGGAACTTAGTTATTAGAGAAAAGGTTGTAATGATAGCTATTTATAAAGCTTTGATAAGACCTCATCTTGAGTATTGTGTCCAATTGTGGAATCCACCTGCGGCTCATGGAAGTTGGGGGACTGTTTTGGAGCTGGAGAGCGTCCAGAGGCGGTTTACCCGTCTTATTGATGAGGTGGGTACTCTTCCATACAGCCGTAGACTGGATATCCTCAATTTGACAACGCTGGCAGAGCGGCGAATACGTGGGGACCTTATTGAAGCTTTTAAAGTAACTAGTGGTTTGACTGAATATGGATAGGGTTTGTTCAGAATGAGCAGATCTGGTCTTAATCTAGTTTCAACCAATATGTGTAGTAAGAGTGTAACTAAAGTTAAGAATCTCCAGTCTTCTTTTCTTCCGGAGCGAGTCATTCCTTACTGGAACAAACTCCTTTCAGATGTCAAGAACTGCTCGACAGTTTTAAGCTTTAAAGTTAGGTTGGAAGGATTTAAGAAAGAAATGATTTCTAATAACAGTGTAAATGATTTTTATTTTTGGAATGTTTCGAACGAAGTTTTAGGGAAAATTGAAGGACCCAGTTATTTAAGCAATAAGGAGACACATAATGAATATCTTTGGTTTCATCCTTTTGTGGCGAAGAAACGTTTTATAAATCTTTATTCCACTGGGAAGTTTTAATTAATTATTTATATATAATGCATTAGATTTTATTAATTAATAAAATTGAATTTAATAAATTATTAATGTTGATGGAAGAATATGTCTATTTGAATTATTTTTCTATTTAGTGCAATGATATTTTTAGACACTTGTGATGATGTAATGTCATAATCTTTACTTACTTACTTACTTACTTATCAACAAAGTTCTTTTTAGCACCTCTGTCTCGACTCTCCCCGTTACGTATAGTAGAGAAATCACTTATTAATTCAACTAATATAACTAGAAAGGATATAATTTATAATTAATACACAACATAAAGATGATTATTAATTACTTTACACTCGACTATTATTATATATCACGTGAAATGTCGAATACTTTCTCTATATGTAATCATATCACGAAATCGAAACAGTTTTTCGCCGATATCTGGCTATCAGAGCAATTTTGTCATAATTGATCACGTTTATTGACGATGTCAACCCTTCCTGATCGTTGATCTGCAAAGCAAAGCAACGATCTTGTCATCTACGATGCGAAACAAGAATGCTAGTTTGCGCGGCGCGTCGAAGCGGCGAAGTCCTCCAATTGATCACTTGGCACGCTTATCCTCATGTATGCGGCGCTCTTTACAAGCTTCATGGACGTGAGAGAATCGAGCAACAAGCAATAGACTATCAAATAATTGATAGTAGATATTTTTCAAAATCTTTAAATAAATATTTTGTAAAAAACGTTTATTAAATATGTATGTAATGTATGTAATGTTACCTGGGGACCCCAAGCTATTATTATTATATGTTTATAAACATAACCTGGCCATGACGTATTATTTTTGAACCCTCTCAAACGCGCAAGCAGGCACGTTTTACGATTTTACAATCCAATAATCAAACTTTACAATTGTCAATGCAATGTAACTCAGCGCGCGGCTCTAATAGCGTATACTTCACTTTTTTAAATTGGCAGTGAGCGTGCACGTGTTTTTCGAGACCGCAATTTATTAAACACGATCACGTGAATGCTTGCCACCCGCACATTAACTTCCGATGCATGATGAGCATCCGAACTTTTTTCATTTAGCCCAAACATAGAAATTTTGCGAAATGATAAGTTGATCGCCGCTTGTCGGCTTTTACTAATTCGCTCGCCCAAAAATTATCACATGACTTTGGTTTTTATGGTTTTTCAATTAAATTACTTTCATACCCTCAAGGCCTTTTCACAAGAGTTTTCTTTTAATTTGGGCGAGCGATTAATTGAGAGCGCCGCTTTTCATACGCTGTATGACCCGCCGTGCACCTAGTGGAACGACCGTGTGTGTCACAACGTGAAACAAATCGCCGCTTAGTTACCATGTTTCATTTTTAACAGATCAGAAAAAACAAAAATGTAGCATTACGGCTGAACCTATTAAAGTTTTTGTGTTTGTTGAAAGAGTGCCAAAGCCCAAAACCTAGATATTAGAGCTAATAACGACACAAACTCAGATCACACATCATCATGAATATTTCTACTAAAATTTAAATAACATTCTAGTTTCAAAGACCCAGTTAAAATCTACCTAATTATACTTTCCGGTACTATATTAGGACGCAATGAAACTACCGGACCACGATGTATGGAGACTTGCCACCCCATGGCAACATTAAAATATATCAACTTTGTTACATCGTTTCCTGTTAATATAAAACTCCGTTACAAAATGAACTGGGATCTGGCAATACTACACCTTAGTTCGATAAAATATGATAAAGTAATGTATAACTAGATTTAAGTAAAAGGTAGTAAAACGTTTCTTAGCAACATGGGGATTAAACCTTAGATCTAGATATTATATTCATAACGCTTTTCTTTATTAATAACATTATTGATTACCTCAATTTTTCCTAAAACAAACCTTAGATTTAGATATTATATTCATATCGCTTTTCTTTATTAATAACATTATTGAAATTACCTCAATTTTTCTTAAAACTTCATCCGAAACATTCCAAAAATAGCTAAAACTTTTAGAATTCATATCTTTCTTTAATCTTCTTTTTAACTTTAAAACTTAGAGCTCTCTGAGCTCTTGACGTCCGGAGAAAGTTTGTTCCAATATGGTCTAAATCTCTACAGACCAATTAAATTATTTTACTGTTCACGTATAATCATATTCGCTGCTCTGCCAGCGTTGTTAAATTGAAGAGACCCAGTCGATATTTATATATAATACATTAATATCAGTTTTGTGGTTATTATTACGTTGTGCTCAGTGCAATTTTAATGGGTCGTATCTTTCTATTATTGGTTGTGGTTGATATTTTTACATGGGATAAAAACTGACTATCAAAGAATACTATTAGCTTCCTCCCATTATACAAATGGTTTTCTAGCCCATTTGTATAAAATAGTATAGCCTTTTTGATATCTGACCACTTGTCCCCAAATAGATGATAGAAACACTACTGAAAATTGTAGATTTCTGCAGCTCATATTACCAACCATCTTTACTCCCAGTCATATTTGTTGTCTTCTGCACGACAGGACTTCTTACTAGCTATCTCTTAGCTGCATTTCTGCAGCATGATGTAAGTCCTATATTCCCTCGAATTAGTCACACTGGGAATTTCCCTCCAGCAAGCATGATATTCAGTTTTACTTTGGGGATGGCTGCAATACTCCTAATACTCATTAGCCATGCGACTTATTATGCAATGAAGACCTATGCCAATTATGTTTATCAGCAGAACATTGAAAGCTTGCAAAGAATTAATTCTCTGTCAGACTCTTCAGCAGTAAAAAAGTTTAAGCTGCAATACAGAAAAAACCATCAATTCAATCAACTCAGCTTGTGTTGTGGTGTTTTAACTGGAGTGGGGGCACTAGGAGTTGGAACTTTTCAAGTTACTTACTCCACAGTTCTTCACTACGTGCCTCTTGTCCTTATGGTAATTGCAGGATACAGTTACTCCACTCTTCACACAATTAACTCCCGTGCTTTCCTTGATGGTATAATGCAGCTCTCTCAGAGATCTTACCTTTTCAAACTCAGAGTTACTGTTACAATTGCTGGTGCTATCAGCCTTTTTGGGATGTTTGTCTTAACAGTCATTGGAAGAATAAAATGGGAACCATCTGTTAGCTGCTCTAAGGAAGAGATAGTCTTGTGGCAAGCATTTAAAAATTGTTCTGAACGAAATCATAACTGGAGAAATGGAGACGGAGGATTTGTTTACTTTGCAGTATCCAATGTGAGTCAGTGGCTGTGGCTAGCTTCATTCTTCGTTTTTGTCTTTACTATCAGGAATGAATTAAATTGTCATGTGCCTCAAGAAAGAAAAGAAAAACAAGAAGGGAGTTCTTTATGTCAGTCAAATGAGACTGATTTCTATCTTTAATAAATTGAACTGGCTACTAGACTCAATTGTTTATCAAAACATATAAATGCATTTAACATCTTGATAAGAGGAGTATCTGAAAACTGTATGTACTGGGATTGTTTGATTTTCCAGATAAACGTTCTGCCAAAAATCCCAGTAAATCTGAGTTAGAGTTTAATTGTAATGTTATCTGATTTGCAGCTTCACATGTTTATTTTTTATTAAATAATGTTTCGAAAATGTTTTGGCATATTTAATTGTATTCATCAATTTATTGTCTTAAAGATAGTTGTGTGGAACAACGTAAACTTATCTTTATTTAAAAAACCTCAATCTCATATCTTTGCTTAGGATCAAGTTCATTGTAACGGCCAAGGTGTGTATTATATTACAGATTTTGACTGTCTTTTTAACTGTAGGATAGGTAGAGGTCGAAGTGGTTCGTTTTACCGTGGAAACCAAGTGAGTTGTTTTTCTGGGACAGTATTGCAAACCCTCAGAAAAAAAACATCATAAACTTATAATTTAGATCTAGGGCCGACTTTCTACTTGATTTGTATTGTTAAAAATTTTAAATGTACTTAAATCTAGACACATTAGATTATGGTGTGCCATAACATATCATCTCAAAATTATTTGCTATGTTAATTGTTAAATTGCTTTTCAGATTTGGCAAAGTTGGTGAAGTTCAGCATTGGTTGTTCAATATTGCTGTATTTCATATTGTTCTCGAGCTGAACCAGTGAGATTGTGAGAAAACGCTTACGGAGTGAGAATATGACTAAAACACGCATCTTCCTCCTGTCTGTTACACTTGTACTGTGTTTCCACTACTTATTCTACTATGGTATTGGGTTAGTTACAAGCTTTATGTTGTGGCTTCAAGTTCAAATCATAAAATATGCACAAGTTTTAGAAATGTTCACTCGAGACTATCCTGTGTCTATCTAGAAGTACTTGATTTGCGTGTCCTTTTTTATTGTGTTGAGTATTTGTATTATAGAAAATTGTAAATCTTAGACGTAATGTGCTATGAATTAGATGACAAACTTCTAGAATTTATAATACCCAAAATCATTGGAACCACTTTGAAAACTTAAGTACATTTCAGATTACAGTGGTTTCGGGATTTCCTTATATGGGAAGATGCATACACATGGTCAGGGTAAGTAGTTGTCACGTTGGTGCTAGAAAGTAGGAACTGACCGGGGTTTTGGCTGCCTGACCAGAAACAGCCAGATAGTTCCCGATGTTTTATCTCAATATTACATTATAGAAATACATTTAAAAACAGTTTCCGGTTGAATATCCAGCCAAATTCTTGGAATCCAGATATTAAATTCGGATATCCGATTCCAGTCAGTTCCTAATTGGTGCTGTTCATAATAATGATAACCGTGGGGTGTTAGTGATCATTTAAATTACCTTAATAGAAGTACACAGTTAACGAGTACGCTAATAAAATTTAAATTTGAACAAATTATTTCAGATCAAATTTAGTGGAGATAGTGGTTATATCGGTCCATCTCCTCTCAGCTTTTCTCCTGTTGGCTGTTGGCTACGTTGATGAGGGACCTGAGATACTTCATACCCCTACTGAGAGACCATTTGGGAGGAGGACCAAAAAGGTCGAAGCTGAGAACGTTAGGCCATTTTTTGAAAATTATTCTCCGAATTTGGCAGTTAAAATAAAAAGTGTTGCAGTGTGCAGAACTCCCCTATCTGGTCCATTTAGCGGTTCCATTTTGCAGCAACAAGACCTTTCTGTGGATTTCCATGCTTCTGTAACTATGGTATCTAGTGATGGGTTGTGTTGGGCTGTTGATAAGATGGCAGACGGATTATGGGTGAGTTGTGGTGAAAGTATTGACTCTGTGATTTACTTTGACGGAGTAAAACGCCCAGAACCTGTAATAAGACTAATTATGGACGAGTCAACTTCTTCACTTGGTGATGTGGTTGGCTGGCTGGAACACAAATTGCCGAAAAATACATACTATCCTTATGAAAGCAACTGCCAACACTTTGCTAAAGAAATCTTTGATAAGTTTGCAGAGAAGAAAAGTTGGAAGTTGGATACCATCACTGATGTAAGAAGACTAATTGGGTGGAGGACTAAAAAGGTCGAAGCTGAGAACGTTAGGCAATTTTTTGAAAATTGTTCTCAGAATTTGGATGTTAACCTAGAACGTGTTGCAGTCTGCAGCACTCCCTTAACTGGTCCATTTAGCAGTTCTACACAAGGTTTCTGCGATTACTTGCAGCAACAATACCTTTCTTTCGACTACCATGCTTTTGTAATTGCGGAATCTATTGATGGGATGTGCTGGGCTGTTGATAAGATGACAGACGGAATATACGTGAGTTGTAGTAAAAGTCGTGACTCTGTTGTGTTTTACTTTAACGGAGTAAAACGCCCAGAACCTGTAAAAAGACTAATTATGGACAAGTCAACTTCTTCACTTGGTGATGTGGTTGGTTGGCTGGAACGCAAATTGCCGAAAAATACATACAATCCTCTTGAAAGCCAGTGCCAACACTTTGCTAAAGAATTCTTTGATAAGTTTGCAAAGGTAGAAAGTTGGAAGTTCGATACCATCATTGACTGGACAAGCCCATTGAAATACCTTAGTAAAGTTGGGTTCGATGGACTACTGCGGTTGCTAGGCGTTGTAATTGTTTACTACGATGTATATCTTCTGTTCAAGGAGAGCACAGAGGATGAGGTAAACCACTACCAGTATATAGGGTATCCAGTGATTCTTTAATTTTATGGGCACTTTTAGAAGAGAGAGGATAGTTAATAGGATGAACATGGTTGTGTATCTATCGTTACTTTCTGTTGGTGTTGAGGTGGTGGAAGCTCTATTTTACAAACCATTTGGATCTGTTATCGCGCGAGGTGTGCGATATGGTGGGATGTACAGATCCGGTTCTACCTTCGACAAATGTTGGTTACCTTTGTGCTATGGGTCTATTTATTGGGTATTTCCCGGATATTTGGGCTCTCTGGGGTTGCTTTATCATCTCTACACGCACAAAACATTAGCCTGGCTGAATCTTTCTTCAAAGATTAGTCCTAAAGTCTTTACTTATTTTATTGTCACATCTTATATTGCTTGTATACTTCTATTTGGGTTAGGTGTCCGGGACCTGGACTTTATATTGAAATGAACGATATATGTTGTGACGTGTTAACTGTGTTGTGACTGTGCTGTGTAAAGGTAAACTCGATATCTCTTGTTGCTTACTTGCTATTTGCATGAGCTATAAAAATTAGTTTTTAGAAGGTTTTTTTATGGCAGTTTTTAGAAATCATTATCATTTCACAGATATCATGGTCTTCTAATAGTACAGTATTAGAATTTCGAAAAGTTTGAGATGTTTTTAACGGTTAAAAAAACAGTTAAAATTAGCGATGATTTGATTTGTCTATCTCGGCAATTAATACATTTTACTTTTAGCATGTTCTGAGATTTGAATTTTTTTATCATGGATAATTTGACGATATTTTTGAAATATTGATTTGGTTACTGAGTTTTTGTTTTTCGAATTTTGAAGTCTGGAAATTTTTCAGTAATACTCTATAGTTTATATTTCGAACTTTTTAAATTTAGATGATTTGATCTTATTTCATAATATAATTTGTACAGCATAACATAAGCCAATATCGCCAGGATGGTATTTCCGAATGGTATAGCCTGTAATAATGTTAATAATGACCTATAATCATGTGTTCTGGTGACACTACTTCCCTCAATATTCATCCATGTATTATACTTCACACCTTACTCTACTTAGCAGATCATGTCTATTGAAATACTGAAAAGAGCGCCGGATGAGCTGGAACTTGCAGCAAAGCGCACGAAACAAGACCTCGCACTTGCCACTACAACTGACAATACCTTACCACCCAGAACCTCAGACCTGACAGCTCCCATCATGCATCTTACCGGTCATGCAGCCGAGGTGAGGGACCAACATCGCCATTTTATTTAGACCATGAAACTTGACATACACACTTGACATAATTAATTTTAATTATAGTTACAGTAGTTTTTGATGGGGTCGTCGAATCCTATTTTGAGAGCTCCGCTTTTCAATGATCTCATCCGAGAGAATAACAAAAACTACCTTGAATTAATGACAATAAATTGTCCACCAGCTTTCTAGCAAGAAAGTGCTCAAGTGATATCAATCATGCAAGTCACACAATTATTAACATCCTGTCAGGTGTTCTGTTGCAAGTTCGGCCCCTACGGTGATATCTTAGCCAGTGCCGGGTTTGATAGGCAGATATTCTTGTGGAATGTTTTTGGTGAATGTGAGAACATTGCTTGCTTACCAGGTCAGATGGAATCTCATTATCATGTAAAGAGATATGTCAACTGTTCAAATTATGTTTAAAACATCACAAAATGGGATGTCTATTAAAAAGGGGCAAAGTTACCAAAATATAGGAATTTTAGACAACAAGTATGTAATTTATGTCTCGCTTTCTAATCAACCTATTATTAGTAACAATTATATTCACAGGGCACACCGGCTCCATTTCTCAAATATGTTTTACGAAGGACGGGACGCATTTAGTTTCTGCTTCAACTGACAAGAGTATGGCAATGTGGGATCTAGAGGCTGGTAAGTAACGTTAGAGTCTATTGAGAGGTTTAGAAGTAGGCATTTTCACGGTCATCCTACTATTGAACCTATTGAGGGGTTTAGAAGTAGGCATTTTCAAGGTCATCCTACCTATTGAACCTATTGAGGGGTTTAGAAGTAGGCATTTTCACGGTCATCCTACCTATTGAACCTATTGGTAGGTTTAGAAGTAGGCATTTTCACGGTCATCCTACCTATTGAACCTATTGAGGGGTTTAGAAGTAGGCATTTTCACGGTCATCCTACCTATTGAACCTATTGAGAGGTTTAGAAGTAGGCATTTTCACGGTCATCACGCAATCTGCGGACCACCTCCTTTACTAATATCATGAAATATCACTTCATTACAGTCTTCTGATGTTATAGGTAGCTCAAGTTAATTACACGAACAAATAAATATATCAACATCTACTTTCATGAACATCATTATAATAATAATCTTTGTCTGTTTAGGTGTACGAGTGAGGCGGTTTAAAGGTCACCAGTCGTTTGTAAACAGTTGTGACGTGTCGGACAACCCCACAATGATCTGTAGTGGCAGTGATGATGGGACGGTCAGACTTTGGGACAGTCGGAGACGGCATTGTGTCAAAACTCTCAACAGCAAATATCAGGTATTATATATGTATAATACCTATATGTAAATTATGTAATATGTAAATTTGTTTCACTAAAATTTGTTTCACTGTATTATCACAGTGCTGGCAAGCACGACCGGTGCATTTATTGTGGGTATACTATGTACCCCCTTTACTATTATACCCCCTTTACTATTATACCCCCTTTGGTACACGTTACAAGCCTCTTTCGTGCACGCGAAGCGTGCACTCCGGCCGGAGGCGGCGGCCGAAGGCCACCGCCTCCGGTAGGAGTTTTTCAGGCATTAAGACTCATCGGAAGTCGTTCAGCAGATTTATTTTTAGTTCAAAACATTCTAATTTGATGTCAAAGATAACAGGAATAAAAAATAGTTATGTTGAGATTTTTAAGAAATTTGCATAAAATTGAAAATACTCGCCAGCACTGTTATACGAAATTCGGTAAAAAACCCAAAATCGCCATATTCAGGTGCCTTAAAAACCATGTTAAAATTGAGTTACAGATCCGAAATTTTTCAGGGCGTCTAGACGTTGACCAAATATCAAAAAAGTTTTCCGTTTCAGATGTTATAATCAGTTTTACAGTATCCTGTTTTGCATAGATGTCGGATACATTACATACATCATTAGTGGGATGCGCTTTGCATCATTTAGCCCGTAATTAAAGACCTCAGTTCAAAATCTCAGATTTCCGACCCGGTTTCATATTTTTATAGCTTTATTATTTTATAATTTTTGACTACATAAACTTGAAACGTCATACAAGGAGACATTGTTTGAAACGATTTGAAAGTATAATTTTAGTTTTTACATTAAGGTATTTATTCATAATCTGAAAATTTATCTTCAGTATTTTCATTTTGAAAATCTACGGAAAATTTTTCTAGCGATCCTTCATAAGTATTGTCGATTAATTTAGTACCTTTTTGAGTTATTTAAAATTCATTTTGCGATTTAAGTACTCTCTGGTTCATCCTTGGATTTTGAGCTCCGTTCTTTTTATAGTTTATAATTGTTTATATTTTACATTAAAATCGATAAAGAGCAATGTTTTGGGGACGCAAATTATAGAACGGTAATATTTGAAACTTTCTGTTTCTGTTTTATTATCTTCAATTTATTCCGTTTTGATTTTTATTGAAATCTAAAATTTGCATTCCTTATATAAGTCTTATTTAAACCATACGGCAAATATTACGCTCTAATTATACGAACTCCGCTCACTTAGTAAATCCGTTGGAAGGTATTCTTATTACGCTCTAAATTCGTGATTTCCTTGAGTTTGTTTACCCGCACATTCAATGTTTTTATTTAAGCTCTTTGTTATATCGGCACGTATTTCTGACTATTTCCAACACAGGAATCTTTTTCAGGATTTGAAACGATTAAATTCAGCATTAAGGAAGAGTTTTGCTTTTTGACTTACTGAGTATGACATTAGTCAAAGAGAATTGACAAAACCCATTCGGTAAAGTGGACCTCTGCAAGACCCTTCCCAAACAACAGGAAATGATAATTACTTCCGTTTTACAATGCAAATATACCGGGAATCTGGTCTGCTCGCTTTTATTTTTTATTTTTTACAAGATGTATGTTAGAAACTCCAGAAGATAAAGTTACCTCGGCAATAACAATTAATTCAGCTAATTCTATAACCTTATAATATATAGAACAACCATTTATTAAGTTCGTATCTTTTTTTCAAATTCATTCATACATTGTGCGTGAAATGTATGGAAAAGCGGCGAGTTTACGTATCATGTTGCATTTGAAAACGGATCAATCAGATTAATTCATTGTCCTGCTTGTCTGGCGATAAAAGATACTAGCACGGTGCCACTACCATGATATGGATGTTGTGGTCAAATGTATATGTGATAATTTTATTATAGATTTAATCAAATTTGAAAGCATGATTAGAAAATTTTACTGATACCTATCTGTCTGAATAAAATATTCTAGCCACAATTGTAATGCAATTACGAATCTAAATCTTAATGAACCTTCAGGTACACCGATTCAACTCAGACCTGAGTTTAGTCATTTTCCGATACGAGATTGGGGACGGGTTCTATAAACAAACAAACAAACAAACAGACGTTGACCAAATCGACTGCAAAAAAAGTTTCAGGTTTCAGGAGCATCGGGAAATGGGTTTTCCAGAACCCCTGTTTTACGATAGATTGTCGTGATACATACATACATACATATATTCAGGGATAGACGCTTTGCCAGTCAATTGTAGCCTGTATTTAAGTGTCCATAGATTCAAAAGTAAAAAAGATACAGCCATTTCCGACCACAGGTCTTGCAAATAATTGTTTATACTTTAGTTTACATTGTATAACAAAATTATATGACGTCATAAACACCCCTTGATGACGTCATCAAGTTAACCGTTTTTAAAACTTGATTTTTGACAAAGTAATAACTTTTAAAATTAATTTTTAACCATTAAGGAGTAATTTTATTCAAAATCTGAGGAAATTTTCATCTTAGATAATTGTTCAAGCATTCTGAAAATCTACCGGAAAGTTTTTCTAGCTTGCTCCTTCATAAAGATATTTGTCATTGAAGTTAGTGCTTTTTTGAAGAATTATTTTATAAAAACTTCAATTTTGCGATTTAGTAATCTCTGGTGTTGGGCTATCCTTTGGGTTGTGGAGCTCAGTTCTGCTTCTTATAGGTATAAATTGTGCATTAGGCTAGTTTTAAAGTTAAAAATCGAAAAGATGCACACGTGGGGACACGCCCAAATTGATAGAAAATCGCTAAAATCACTGAAAATTGCTGTTTTCGTCATTTTCTGTCAACTTTAGAGTGCCGTTGTGATTACAGTTCTACTTGAAATACTTTAAAACTTTGCATGCTTATCAAACTATATATAAAACACCAACACGCAAAAATTTACGGCGATTCAATATTGGATGCGCACGCAACGTCCGCTCATAGTTTGCACGTGCGAAAGGTGATAATTTTGCTCATTCGTGATTTCGAACAAATTCTGCTTTACCACGACAGTTCAATGTCATTATATATAAATTTAATGCCAACTTGAATGAGTATAAAGTGGCAAATTCAGTCAGTGATCGACCGATATGCTTACCCAAACACAAGGAAATGTTTTCAAAGGAAAAATTTCGAAATCGTTAAAACTTCCTCCTTATTAATGAAGATATCAGTTTATACATTATATTTCGACTTTATAAAGTACCCTGACATTAATCAAAAAGAGATGATATTTGACCAAAACCCATAATCATGGGTAGAGTGGACCGCTGCCAGTATCTCTCTTTCCCAAACAAAAGGAAATGATATTAATTTGATTGACCGTTTTCAAATGCAAAATGATACCGAGAATGAAATCGGTCGCTCGCTTTTCCCATTCATTTACAATTACAAATGTAATAGATTAAGAAGAACTACCATACCCGAAGATAGCTGTACTCGGCAATAAAGATTCAATTAACTTCAGCTAATTCACTAACTACCACCCTTATCCCGAAATACTAGGTAACGACCCGAACGCAACCCAAATAAATTATTACAGCATACAGTGATCGATGTAATTTATCGAAACTTATTTATACAATTCGTAAGCCGTGAATGAATGGGAAAAGCGAGCGACCGATTTCATTCTCGGTATCATTTTGCATTTGAAAACGGTCAATCAAATTAATATCATTTCCTTTTGTTTGGGAAAGAGAGATACTGGCAGCGGTCCACTCTACCCATGATTATGGGTTTTGGTCAAATATATATATATGTATAATTGAATATTATAATTTAATCTAATATATAAATTGATCTATAGATTTAGAAAATTTTACTGATATCTATTGTCTGCCAATAGAATGATTGGTATGCTACAAAACAAATATAGTAATGTGTAATTAGTCGGATTCTAACGATATTTATACCTATAGCTACAGAATGTTCGGATAATAATGGGGTAAAAAAGTGGTTTATAATACAGTATATTTCAGGTTACTGCGGTTTGTTTCAACGAAAAAGCAGATAACATAATGTCCGGCGGCATCGATAATCATATCAAAATGTGGGACTTAAAACATGGAGAGGTAAGACTTTCAAATTTGCCTTTCGGACATCATTTTTCAGAAAGGTCTTCTCAAAATTGCAATGTAGGACGCGCTTGTGCATTTCTTATTATTATAGCATTTGCTAACGGACGTTCTTACGTTACCCGCGCGCGATATGATCTTTACATTATTCATCCTTCCTCTGTCATTTACTTTGACCCTAGAAATTTATCTACATCAATTTCGTTACAAGAAATTTTTGACTATCACGCATGAAGCATGAATTCTCATCACATTTAAACTGCCAGGTCAGTCTAGAAATGAAGGGACATTGTGACACGGTCACTTGTTTATCCTTGTCACCCGACGGAAACTTCGTACTTTCCAACTCCATGGACAATACAGTCAGGATGTGGGACGTGAGACCCTTCGCCCCAGCAAACCGATGTCTCAAAGCATTTGTTGGTGCTCAACACAACTTCGAGAAGAATCTTATCAGATGTTGTTGGTCCCCCCAAGGCACCAAGGTAAGCTTACTTGTTTGTTGCTGTATTAATTGACGATCATCACTTTATTAACTAACATAAATTATCAGCTTGGCACAATTTGTTTCGTTGCAATCAGAAATGGCCAATGTTTATGGTGTCCCTCTGAAATACGAAAGTTGCCGATTTAAAGACTAACCCCTATATTACAGATAGTGAGCGGTTCGTCAGATCGTATGGTGTACGTTTGGGACACCTCCTCTCGGAAGCTCCTTTATAAACTGCCTGGTCATACGGGGACGGTGAACGATGTGGATTGCCATCCCACTCAGCCCATCCTTATGACAGCATCCAGTGACAAATCTATATATATGGGTGAACTGAAATGAGCGGACATTCATGCTGAAAAAAGAAAACGGACAGTATTTTGTTTATCTTGTTCATATTTTATCAATTGCGGAGCCTGGTTTGCCACAGTACTTGTGCTATTTATACATTGACCTTTGACTGAATTATCAGATTGAATTTAATTAAACTATATTTTATCTCCCTCCCTGATACTTTTATCTTAGGTAAGCATTTCAAATTTACAAAAACTAGTGGCAATGTCCCAATATGTGTAGAAATAAAGCGACGACACATTTGATTTCCAAAAGCAAAACATTATTAACAATTTGATTTCTAATAAATTATCCTCATACTTTCCTCAACCTGTTTTAATCAATAGGATGGAATGAACTAAACGATGCTGAAGAGTCTACAAACGTCCGGTATGGCAGTGCGGGGTGTGAGAGCCCTGAGTGCTTCTCCTGTCACAGTGTCTACTGGTCGGGGTGGTAGGTCCTCCACCAACTCGCATACTGTCACTGTTTTTGGGTCGACCGGGAGAATGGGTCGCTTCTTGATAAACAGTCTGGGGCAGTCTGGGTCACAGCTTATTCTGCCACATAGATGTGACACTCACACCATCAATCCATTGAAGGTAATCAATTGAAACGTACAGAGGAGATTTGAGATATATTGGCGAACATTGGATCAGATGAACAGCCAGATCCTTTACGATTTACATCCGTTGAATAATATTTCCCGTCACAATAACGCAATATATGATATTTCAGATGGCAAGTGATCTGGGACAACAACATCAAGTTTATACTCCTGATTTTAACGATGAGGCTCATCTTGAGGATCTTGTTAAATATTCTGATGTAGTTGTCAACCTTACAGGTGAACAGAATTTTAAACTGTTTATCAACAAACTGATTCACTGTTATAATACCTTCGCTGTTTCGTGCCCGCGCGTTCCCTCCAGCAAGCTGTCGGGAATTATCGCGCTCAGCACTCAGAAGCGAAAATATTATAGTATTATAATGATACGTTCTTTGAACCCTTTCTCACGTTCTTGATAACACTCTCAGGATCACACCGACCGAGACTACACCACAGTTTCAAAGACAGTAACGCGACCCTGACCCACAAAATAGCCCGGGCCTGCAAGAACGTCGGGACTCCCTGTTTCATCCACATGTCTCACATCAACGCTAGCTATGACTCACCGTCACAGTACCTTAAAACCAAGGCACTTTCTGAGGAGGTGGGCACCACGTTTTCTGTCAAGATGAAACATTCTTAATAATAATTGGCATCAATTTATTCGATATAGAAGCTTTATTTTAAAGTTGTTAATCGTGTTGACTACAGCGCTGATTATAATTTATTAGTTTGGTTATTATTACATCGAGATGGCAGGGCTTACTCTCATGCTGTCTATAGATGATGATTAACTCTGAAAAAGAGTTGTTAAGAGTGGTTATTAATTATACTTACGTTCTCCCGTTTTGTCAGATTGTGCTCCACGAGCTGCCCAACTCTGCTATTATAGTTCGTAGTGCCGACTGTTTCCACGCCTGGGACGACTTTACTCACTATCTTGCACGTCTAAATTCTCGCAAACGACTCGTGCAAAAAGGTAAGGTTCCCTAGAAGTTTCTGGTTATCAAAGATACTTGGAAGCCCCACTTTGTTAGAAGATACTTTTTGGAAGCCCCACTTTGTTTGAAGATCAGTTTGATATTTGAGAAATGGAGTGCAGAAGATTAACCGAAATCATTCTGCAAAGCATGATTTAAAAGATAATATCTCCTAGGACGTACTCAGATCTACAAGAGAGGGATATTCACGTACAAACAACCAGTGTTCGGGCCTGACGTGATGAAAGGTGTGGCCAGAATTATATCTACACCTGACCAAGATAGGCAAAGATTGTACCAGTTTGTCGGCCCCAAACTCTACTCTCTTCACGTAATGAATAAAGATTTACTTTCGTAACTTTTTTTGTCGTCATGGTTTAACATGATCTTATTATTGATCGCCATTTTACGGGGTTCTTTTTTCCTGTGTAAAGGGTCGTTCACATATTATTTTGACACAATAGCATTAGCTATGTGTAAAACTGATAACGGAGGGGGGGGGGGGGGGGGGGGGATCGGGAGGGGGGGGGGGGGGGGGTAAAAATTGTTCAAAAAGTGATTACGTAATATGTGAATTGTGAACGACCCCTAATCAAACTGTTATTATTTTTTGATGAAATTTATAAATTGATCCTAAAATAACTCGTTTTCTACTCGAGCTTACCACAGGAGTTCATGCAGTCTATCACGGACATTACCTTCCGTATGTACCAACCGATCTTCAACCCTGTACGGCACATTGTTGAGGCCAACATTGCGAGATATGAGAACTATATTCGGGTAAGAAACATACACTTTTATTTGTTATTCTCAGATTATAAACATGATAACGATTTGTGATTTGAAATGTGAACTGTTTGGCAGCAAGATAAAACTGTTCTGTTCTTGATGCATTCACCTACACTACCTTTAGTATCCTTTAGTAACCTTTAGTAACCTTTAGTAAACTTTAGTATCCTTTAGTAAACTTAGTAACCTTTAGTAACCTTTAGCAACCTTAAGTAACCTTCAGTAATCTGGTACGTCAGTTACAACTTTAACGACTTCCCTCTGATTAACCTATCTTTTAGTACCAGATGGTAACTGATAAACCCATAAACGGCCTCCCTGGACTGGAAGATCTCGGTATTAAACCCTCTGTCTTCGAGGATGAAGCCCTCTTTTGGCTAAGGAACTACAGAATATTCTGGCAGACTTGGGACCCACTGGATGGTCAGAAATCTGATATCTATAACAACTCCATGGGTACCGGGGAGAACCTTTAGTGGGGAGGAGATAAGATTAGTATCACACCCAGAGCTCTTAGAGAGTCATATTGAACTATCAAAACTTAATTCAAACTAGCCAATTTTGAAACTCTCACGCATAACGGACTGATACTTTCCTATGTTTCGTGCAACCTTAATAAGTTAATAGCTATAATAGCCATCGAGTTTTAAAAAATCTATGATAGTGTTACTTATCTAGATTTATAAATTACTCGATTTGAAGAAGTATTGTAAATTAATGAGGTAGTAAGTTAAAATTTTGTAACGAATATTATTGCTGTTTCATTGTATAAATAAATAAATAAAATAATTAAAAGCATTTTAATTGCAAATGTTACCTGGAGAGTAGCAACTTACCCAAAATCCAATTTTCTAAGAAATGTGGAAAACTTAGTGTTGAAATGTCGAAAACTTGGTGTTGTTAAATCGAAAAAAGGCTTTGTCAACTCAATCTATAACTATAACAATGATCATGAAATAAACAGCTCAATATTACTAGGTTTAGCATGTTATCACCTTACGCTAATTCGGCAGTCCTCGCATCAAGAGCAGTAAAACAGACGTACAAGGGACTTATCACAGAGCTGTACGCTATTCACAATGGTCAGCTGTCTCAGGTAATTTAAATTGTTACATTTTGTGTAACGAAATAACTTCTGCATTTGATCTGTGTTTTTAAAGGTGTTCCACTAAATTAGGAAAGTAGCTGATAACCTTCGTAATAGGAGAACTGAGAGTTCAGTTTTCACCGTCTAAATTTATGTTTTGTTAAAACGGGCCTATGTTATTGAGGGCACAGTTCTCTGTGCATTACAGTGTTTGGTTTCCCGTCAGATTTTACAGACGGGGGCAATAGTTTATTCGATTCTTATTTGATACGTTATAATTGCCGTACTCTATCAAGTTTGAAAAGTATTTAATACAAAAATGTATCAATAATTAAATGTCACTCAGACCACTCGGAGAATGTACAACGAGGTACAAGAAAGCACGAAAACTCAGTCAGAAACTCAGGACTTGTCCGTCCTGAATGAGAGGTTCGCTGTCGCTAACAACTACCTTACTCTCCTCAAAAACATCAGGATTCAGCAGGTTTTTGGGTTTTTTAACCTTTTATCAAGTTATGTGTGCTTCTAGTCAATTCCCAAGTTTGCATTCTACATAGCATAGGGACACCCACAAACCTGGTAGTGATAAGACAAGAAATTGTCCTTGAAATTTTGCCAAAATATCACGAGCAGAAACTGTAGAGGCAACCAGTCCAAAATAGCCAAAATCTGGTTTACGTGATGTGTGAACGATCTGTATTGTAACATAGTTAGTGTTACGTGGTGAGTAATCTGGATCTAGTAAAGATGATAAACCAAACTTATTCTCCTGAAATCAAATCAGCGTTACCAATTTCCTTATCAAGTTGCCATCACAAACGTGATACTGCATTGCACAAGCCGGGAAAGCCGCGCGGTAATTCGGAGAAAAACACCAGATTGGAGCTCAGCCGTACCTTGCACCAACCTTCATCTTTCTATCAATTTTCCTGTCTACCTTTTTTACGTTATTTACGAATATCTTGGAAAAAGTTGCCGCGTCTTCTTATAGTACATGAATTTATCTTCAAGCGATGTTACAGCAAAGACTTGGATGACGTAGTGGTGTTATTTTATCGCTAAGGTGATTGATTTCCAGGGTGATGGATAACTACATATTTGTTCATCACATACAACTCATCTTTGTTATTGCAGGAGTTAATAGAAAAGTACGGGAAAGGAGAGCTAACGACGGAGCAAGCTGCCGCTAAAGTAGGATTAGCGCTCCCGACACTGCCTCCCCATCAAGATCCCAACTGAAGACAAGAAATGCTCCGCAGTGTTCAGAGACAGCCCGTATCGTGCGGTATCATGACGAAGAAACGGAGGCAGGCAGTACCAAGTGACGCAAACCCTCCTCTTTGAGGTACAGGGGGCCATTCTATCCCGGCTAAAAAACTAGACAACAATCTATAGGCTTATCTTTACCTCACATTTAGTGATATATTCTAATTGCGTTGTAGTCTATCCTGGAGTTTTACTGTCTGCTCTTTGCAAAGAGGCCCGTGCAATGGTCTAGACGATTATATTCCGTGTAACAAAATCTTGTCATTTCTAAAATCTTTTCTAATTACCTCAGAACAATACACGGTCTCTAGATCAAGAAATGGGACATACAAAATATCAGGGATATTCGAACCAAAATGTGTGAACATCAGAATACAAACAGCAAATTCCTACTTAAAAAGATTGCTCGATATACAAAACAAATGAAATCTGCATGAACAGATGAATGAAAGCACCCTACATGAATATAAATTCATCGCACGGACACTACATCGGGTTAGCTTAATAAATTTGCCTCCCACATAATTGAAATAAGTCGGCTATAACGTTATACATCAGCCAGGCAAACATAGTTACTCATGTTTCCTTAGCTGGCAGCAACATCACCATCCAAATAAATATACAAAAATAAATCGTTCTGACATACCATGTACTCGCTCATAACAACCGGAACTCGTATAAAATAATTATCTAAAAACACAGACTAATGGGATGACAAAAACAGGTTGATGACGTCATGATGATGACGTCAGAATCATGACGAAAACAGTCGTTGAATATTCAAAATATATCCTATTTTAGGCAACAATTAGTATAATGGTAATTTCTTAGAAATCTTAAGTTGCTATACAGTATACACGACAGGCAGTAGTTTAGCGCAATGAAAATGTTCGTAGCACGGTTAGTCTTTAGTTGAGATGCCTATACTGTTAGGTTTTAATGTTTTCTGTTCAGACGATGTCCTCTGGTAGCTCTGATCGGGAGGTCGGCATCATCTGGGTCCAGCTTGACAAGGCTAGTCATATGGTCGAGCTCCAGGTGACAATGACATGCCGTCTGTCACCTGAGATCGGGCTTCAGGTGCCGTCTGTTAGGTTGTGGAGAGGTTCTGCCACCTTATCGACCCTTATTTGAGTATTTGGAAGGTCTTAATAAGGGCCGTGTAGCCCATTTACTAATAATAAGGCCGTTTAGACAGTAGGTGTTAAATAGGCTCTATCAAAGTTGCTAAATATATTGCTATAGTTTGAATCTAATTCTATGTGTAAATGGAAATAATTACATTAATTATATAATTATTAATAGATTATGTTTCAAAATGACTGTTTACTCCACTTACTCGGTTCATCTGAATTTGTAACTTCAGCGAATCAAGTAAAAGTGCAGCATCTAATGACACCTTTTCAAAAAAAGGCCCGTTCAGAGAAAGGGGCTGGCCAAATTTAAGTCCACTCAAACTAGGGCCGATAAGGTATTCCCAGTCTAAGTTCGTTAGGGTCTGAAGTGAATGTCTTGCAGCTCCATCGGAGGCTCGGTGGTAGGGCTGCGGGATACCATGGTGTCCAGTCTGTGAACTAGAGTTTCGTCTGTGTCCATCTCCACTTCACCACTCTAAAAGTTGGATCATTTCAGACTTGTGCTTTGAACTTGAAGAAGGGGTCACGTGAAGGCATAATGTCGTCACGTGTCAAGAAAGAATTGTAACACTTACGAAACTGAGTTACTCATAAAAGTTAGATACTGCATGCTTTGTCCGGTCCCAAGAGAAGGAGAGTTTATATGAGCAAGGTACATGATACAAAGATAGTTAAAGAGAGAGTCTGTAAAGAATTGAATGAAGAATTGTCGCAAATCTGTCAATAATATCCCCGAGAATTAACAACACTCGTCTCAACCCTTGTTGTAAGGGATAACCATGTCATGGCTGCTATCTCCGTGCTCACCACTCCACTTATCTCCTATCTCATTTATGTGTTGCACGATCTGAAAACTCACATTATCATTATCTTCGTCCTGATCAACTATCTCATCCAGCTCTTCCTCTTCGTCCTCATCTGCTTCTTGTTCGTGGGAACTGGATGTTCCCCCGGAGCCCCAGAATATCAGCTTGAACTTCTTAAGCTTGGTTGGTTGCATCCTGAAATTTTCCTTCTGTAACTAGAACGTACATGGTGTCTTAAATGTTAGATTTCATCAAACTGTACTTTATTTTGGCTTGTATTTGGTTTTAATTCAAGACTTGATCGTAAACATGTTCCATGATAAAAACTTACGAGGTAATCGGTATAAATTCCCAGTCCTATTCATCTATGTTTAGTACTCACTGAGTATGTTTATGGTTTGGGTTTCCATTCGCATTGATGATCTGTAATTGCCACCATCCATAGGGTTCTTCGTCCCAAAAATTAACAGTCATAAAGCCCCAATTCTTAAAGCCAGACCTGTTATTGTAGAACCTGTAGAGTGTCGGGTTGTCTAAAGGATTATACCATGCTGTCTCCGTTTGTTAAATTTCAAATCAAAATCTAATAAAGAAAATTCATTCTGATCAACGAAGTGCTACGTACCTGGAACTGGATTCTGCGTTGTCTTCAGGCCTCATGCTGAGAAGTTTGCTGGTTGTTCCACTTGGAGAAACTAACTTTAGCAAGAGGTCCCCCCTGGTGGGCGTACTTATCGTCAGGAACAGTTGCACGTGCTCGAGCTTGCTCAGGTGGTCCTTACCAAATCTGCCAGTCGACTTGTCCATGCAGTCTTCGGGGTGGATGGTTGTCCTCATGTTGAGTATCCGTAGCGGTGGTACCACCCTGGGGACGATAGTTGGAGAACTGTCAACGTTTTAAAATTTGTCAACCCTAGTTCCATGCGTGGACAAGGTTGAACGTAGGATGAGATTTATGCTTACTTTGTGTGGTTGACTTTGAGGGCCATGCACTTTCGCTGCTGGGGAACTGTCGTCCAGTTTCGCGCCATGTTTACCATCTTTGTTGCGTCTGAAGCAAAGTGGGCCCAGTTAGTCAATAATTTAACCTCATATTTTCACAGTTTGACTGCTTCGCGCATATCAAAGTTCCAATCAAACGTGCTAGTCTAAATTTTATGATTTGAAATTACCAAGAACTCCGAAGCCGAGTTTAGGATGAAACTCGTGACCGGCTCCGTTCCGAGTCCATTGACTGTCCCTGTCATTGGAGACCCTGCTGGCTGTCCGCACTATCAAGTGTTGCATATCCCTCCACGTCAGTTCGGGACTGCAGGTTATATGGATTAAACCCCTCATTCTAAAGCTCGGAAATATTCACAAATTTTGACCGATATTAATCCTCAAATTGTGGTTAAGATTGGGTACCCTTGTCTTACGATGAAATATCCAGTAAGTTTAATCGTAAAACAACACTTCTAAGGCTAAATATCTCACTTAGCCTGAAGAACTAGAGCGAGCACGCCCACTGCTAGTGGTGCTGCAGCGGAGGTGCCTGTGTGTTCATCAGTGCAAGTATTGTGGACATCTGTCGTCAGGATCTTATCCTCATTTCCAAACCCGGACGAGTAAGCGGAGGCGAGGGTGCAGGCACAGGACTCACTGTACCAAGGCGAGAGCCCGCTCGATGAGATGGCACTAATGGCGATGGTGTAGATACTCGACACGTAACCGTCTAGGTTGCAGTCGTCGTTTGCTTTCCCGCCGTTGCCGCTCGCCCAAACGAAGATGGAACCTTTGCCGTGTCTTCCCTGAGAGTTTTTACTTAGCAGTCCTTTGATGATACTTTTCAACAAGTTAAATATAGCTCCCTTATTCGGAGAATTATTCTCACTAACTTGGCAAAAACGACTTATCACTATAAAGTTAGTAACACAAATTCTACATTATCTCATTTCAATTTGAGTATTAAAAAAAGTACCTTTCTTGCACCTTCCTTAAGAGCAGTCTTGGTGCAACTTCCTGGACCGTCCACAGTTTTCCCATCATCGTCTGGCCCCCAAGACATGCTGTAGATATCAATGTAGTTTCGTTTAAAGCCGATGGAATCACACTCTACCTCGTCGGATATTCTACCATCCAGCATCCTAATACCTGAATTGTTACAATATGGTTTCTAAAGGAGCAGATATAGATGGACTGCTTTTTACATATTTTAGCGCATTTGTAACATCTGAACATACAGATCTGCATAGTTTGTTAGTAAAAATGAAGCCGTTAACATAAACGGCATTCTTCATCATTATTATAAAATTGTTGCAGCTGAAACGTACCTCCTATGTTTGCTTCGAAAGCGGCCCCCACCCCACATTTAGTGTTGTTAGCCGAGGCTGCAACTTGTCCTGCACACCTTGTTCCGTGCCTGTACATGAGATAACTAATAGCTATTAGTCTCCAAGTGAAAGTGAAAGTGAAAGTGAAAGTGTTGGAGGCTTCCATCACACATATTAGTCATAGTTTAGCATGGCTACCCTCGTTGCCGACAAAACATTTCGTTAGAATAAATAAACTGCTGGGTGTTTAAACCTATATAACATTTAATTTATCCCATTCAACCGGAAAAACGTCTCTTTTAATGAGTTGTATGTGCTTTATAAATGGAAAACGCGGCTCTATTTATATTCAATTGTCCCAGTTTAAAAGTAGTTACCTCTTTATTTAACAATAAAGTATGCAGCTTTAGTTAAATATTAGCAGGCTTAACAAGTTAGTGTGTATTGCTCGACTAAATGGAGAATCTTCCATCATTCCAGACACATATTTTTAAAACACTGCTCCACAGGCAATCTGGTTGTTATTTAAAGTAACACTATTCTTATATGCATTCTATTATGCACGCGCCACGCGGATTTTGTTTTTACGAAAAACCATGGCAAGCACATGCTATTTTTACTTTAAAAGCTATCGGATATAAATTGCTCAAGTTGAGGTAACGCAGAATAAATGGTGCTTTGAAAGGCTAAGTTGGCGGTTAGATTGGTATTAAAGTCCCAGAGGTATTTTTGAATGGTCATTCAATCGGAGCATCTTAAACTTTTAAGATGCTCCGATTTATTCTTAAAGTTTAACCACAATCTACTACCGTACGTGGTTAATGAGATGCTTTTAAAGGTGCCCTTATCTGCTAATTTAAAAAATTGCAAAGTAAATGCACAGTGCTTATCACTATTGCTGCCCATTTAAAGTGACCCATAAATGAAGATTGAATATACCCTTTGACTTTCAAAATCTTGGCATTAAAAGTCTCTTCAGTAGGCATCATTTGGTTCCAGTAATTGGGGACCAGAGTCCTGATGATACTACATCAAAGAATTTAACATTAACAGCTTAACAATCATTCAGGGTCAAACACTTTGACCTTACTTACTTTAGAATGAATCGGATTCCTCGATGCGTTACGTTGATGGTTAAGGATAGTGTTAAAAATAGGAATGATAAACGTGAAAAGATTTCTACCACTTACATATTCTCTGAGTCGTCAGTCATTCTAGGGGAAGGATCCAAATCGTTATCGTTGAAATCATAGCTGGCATCTGCGTCCCAGTTATCCTTCAGGTCATCGTGCGTTCTTTCTACACCTGTGGTTTAAATGGACAGTCAGCAACATGCCACAAGTTTATTGTTTAAGTAATTTACTGATATATATATATAATTAAAAAAATGGTAGGGTAATAACGTATAACACTAAACAATTACAGTAGATATGGGCCCTTGCATGACGTCATGCTCTCTATAGGCTAAAGAATCTCTGCTTTAGTTGAATTATCTAGATACTTATTTATTTACTTTATTTATCATTTTAAAATTATAATTTTGTAGGTATTTAAAAAAGCTGATGTTCCAGAAATCTGAACAGACTTTAAGTTACTGTCAAATGTTCCATAGTAAATGTTACTGTTTTTGTAACCTACCCACCGTCATCTAGAATTGTAACTTTAACTCCTCTTCCAGTAATCCCTTGTTTCCACGCTCCCTCAATGTTCATGTCAAGCCTCAGATTGTTACGCTGAAATAAAACCAAAGAATTGTAAGAAAATCTCAGGAATAACTAGATATTGACAGCTAGTTTTTATGACCATAATTTGTCCTTCCGCCACAACATTTATTAGTTGATAATTTGGCTCTGTGTTCGGTAACAAGTTTAATCTGTCCTGAACGTCCGGTGATGTCTTTACCGTAACGACAGGAAATCAGGCCTGGCCGCAAGATAGTTCTGTTAGTGTAAACTGGTTATCAGAGAGAGGGTATAATAATACAGCTAGCCTAGTTGTAATCCCCTTACTAGTTGTAATTCCCTTACGCCGTACCACTACGAATGAGCTCGGTTTTGGTGATACGATAAAGCATGTTACCGGCTTTGGTCAAATCTAATCATGTTTTTTATGGTAGGTCTCTGTCCTAGGACCGTGCTAAGCGATATCCTATCTCCAATGAGATGGAAAATTGAATGTTTGCACCCTGTCACGGCTATGGGATTACCTGCGCTGTAAATGTAGCTAGTATTATGACGTCACTAGTATTATGACGTCACTAGTATTATGACGTCACTAGTATTATGACGTCACTAGTATTATGACGTCACTAGTATTATGACGTCACTATGATGACGTCACTAGTTTTATGACGTCACTATGATGACGTCATCATGATGACGTCACTAGTATTATGACGTCACTAGTATTATGACGTCACCATGATGACGTCGCTTATTATAGGATGAAAAGATAATTTATAATCCTTAAAAAGGGAAGATCAATTCATCTAAGTTCAAACGGCTCGCGTTCTAGAATAATCCTGGATGAGCACCTATTATTTCCATCCCCTTTTGGTACATTTAAGGAATATATCTGTTCAGCTGGTCGTGTAGTTCTAACAGTTACTGTGGCTGAAATTATAAGACACCCTGGAATAAGTGCGACAAGAGACTATTTTATTTAGCTTGATTCTGAACCTATAACCCGATAACCGTATTAATTTGTATAGTATGTCACCGCGAGGATTCTCGACAACATGGCAATTAAAGGGGTCAACACTAATGGCACTAATAACTAAGGTTTTAAAGGTTCTCTGTCCAGGTTCTCTGTCCAGAAGGTCAAGAGGTAGACCTCGGAAAAACTATTTGTCATGTGTCCGGGAGGATGCAGCAAAAAAGGAGTTACTATGTGGTGCAGGCCACTCCAACGACTAGGAGGAGACCTTTTCAAGTACAAGTAAGTAAGTAAGTACTGTCCAGAAAGAAAGAACCTACTTACATAATACCACTGCTTATTATACTCCGGATCGTTAAAATCACAGCACTCGTCAGGATTGAACGCTCCTCTCGTGTGTCTACTGGACCCTCCTCCCGGTCTTCTCGAGTCAGGATGGTATATTCCTCTTACTTTTCTGCTCAGGTTCTGCCTGTTAACCTCGGCAAATACCACATTTTTTTCGTGGAAAATCTGATTTGTTATGTCATGAATCATTTCATCTCTACTTCTGTAGGGAAGAGATGTATCCCTTCTCCGTCTACTTCTATAGTCGTCAGACTTCGTTTCGAGGAGGAATATGTGTCGTAGACCACCTCTCTGAAACATGATCAAATTCTAAGATGGGGTCTTTTAGATGGTCTTTAAAAGTTGTCCAAAAGTTAACTTTCTCCTCCTTTAAGTTTACTAGGACAGTTAATTAAATTCTGACTATTTAAAAATATGGACATTTTGTCAAAACATATTGATGATGATCTAAACGGCAAAATTAGAACAGTAATCGAACTGCCGGCTCTATTTAAAGTTTAGACGAATAATTTTAAATGATAGACGAGAAACAAAAATATGATCAGCGTATAAAATGTAGAATTTACTTACATTTCCTCTATTAACTAGGTTATATTTATTGGCGATTTTGTTAGCAGCCCTGTGGCCGCCGTGTTTTAGGTCAATGAGCCAACCCATCGACCATACAGTAGATACAAATACATTTAATAACAGCAATATCGACAATTCTAGCCTATTCATAACCTGTAAGAGCAATATATGTTAGTAATTACCGGAATACTAAATTTAAGTTTAAGTTTAACTACAACTTTTATAATGGAATGCAAGAAGAGAATAAATACGATCGGCTGGTTTTGGAATGCAATAGTAAAGTATTGCCAGATCCAAGTTCAATTTGTAACGGAGTTTTGTGTTAACAGGAAACAATGTAACAGAGTCGATATATTTTAATGTTGCCATGGGGTGGCACAGGCAAGTCCCCATACATCGTGGTCCGTTAGTTTCATTGCGTCCTAATATAAGAACAAAATTAACACAGCTAGCTAGAAAATGAAGGTGATATACTACTAAACGGCTGGCAAAAGTCCAAATAGCGAGGTGAGCAGTGCAAGGGTTGAGGCAGGGGAAGATAGAACACGCAAAGGACTGCAGTATCTTGAAGTAGACAGGGTATCGAGCCGTTCTATGCTTTGGGTGGGCACTGTCACACCGACCCACCTATTATTGAACTTCGTCCCGATTTTATGTACAAGTCACTGTAAGGCGCACATCGTTCCAACAAGAGGGGAGATCATTGATTGCCGGACTGGTAGTCAAACTGTACAAGTGTGGGGTTCTTGGCCTGCTGTTAATAGGGAAGCAGTTAAGGATCCGGTAACTTCATGTTGAATTCACAAAAGTGCGGGTGAGCTATAGTTGATCCGGTAACTTCATGTTGAATTCACACAAGTGCGGGGGAGCTATAGTTGGTAAGGATCCGGTAACTTCATGTTGAATTCACAAAAGTGCGGGGGAGCTATAGTTGGTAAGGATCCGGTAACTTCATGTTGAATTCACAAAAGTGCGGGGGAGCTATAGTTGGTAAGAATCATGTAACTTCATGTTGAATTCACACAAGTGCGGGGGAAGTGCGGAAGTGGAAGGGTATAAGGTGGTGCATTAATTTCAATTTAAAGGTCTCTTCTGGAGAAGTTTGATAACAGAAATATGTCTTCTGTGAATGGGAGAGTTTGGCTGGGTTCAGACGAGAATCAGCTGTTTTAACTATGGAAATCTTGCTTTAGAACTGACGGCTTGATCAACATCATTTGCAGATTTCCATGAAACGAAAGACTGGCACACTTTGACTGTGAATTATTACAAAATCAAAATGATCAAAAAGGAAGTGAAAAGATAGTCCACATTGATACTATCCTGGCAATGTTGTGATGTACACGACCAATTAGATGCGGGTAGGTTACATTGGAGAAGAGTCAACACCGTTTCTGCAGAATTGAGGAATACCAGACAATAGACGACACGAACAATTCGAATTCAAAATCCTTGGATATTTGCGGCTGTGTAGCACGGAGCCCAAGATCGGAGATGTGATTGTAAAGCGTACCGGGCCGGTCACGAAATAATTGTCTATTCTAGAAAATTTCGCCATTTTTATAGATAAAGCCCGCAGCTTCACACCTGTTTTGCCGAGTAGCACAGGAGATCAATTCATTATTCAGCTCATGTGACGTCACGGCACCTCTTATCCGGAGAGTGGGGTGAGTATTTGGTGAGTTATATCACCAAAATAACGTGTCACTTCCGACAGTTGGTAAGGATCGCTCACCCTTTACCCCCTGCTTCCCTCACTGGGAGTTCCTGGTTTCATGAAGCCATGTTTGTTCTCGTTTGTTGATGTCAGTGGAGATAAACCGGCACATGATTGTCAAGCAGGCATCTCTGCAAGTGGCTCAAGCTCTCTCTTCCTCAGTACCATGGCAATTAACGTTATTTATTAAACTTTCACCACAACTTGACAACTTCCCCCTTAGTCCGTCTAAATTTAGATCACATGGAAGTTAAATTTAGCCCTCAGAACGCGTGCTAATAGGAACGAATAATCCACAATAGTTAAAACGATAAAGCAAGGAGTCACGTCCGTCACGGAGTCCGACAATAAACGAACAAAGCAATAGAGCGCGTAAAATATACTTCCAAACTCGCTTCACAATTAAACACCATCAATACAATCTTTACCATATATAGAAACGATACGTGCCACCATATTTAGATTAAGCACAGGACAACTCGTGACATGCTTTGAACAATCGCCAGTCTACTCGGATTAACTGCAGTCCCTGCTTCATATCTTCATCCTTCTAGAAGCTCTGGTTTTATTTTTACTATTACAGACACGAAAGTTAAACCAGACTGCATGATAGCTACGTCAAGCTTTTAGAAGTGCACATTTTTCTTAACTTAACGGAATTGTCTCCTATGCAGTCAGCATTTAGCTTAAGTCAGCCTTTCACACAGTCATATTATTGGTGCTTTGAGTTGTACGTAGGATCATGTCTAGTACTATGGCTGCATCTATGGCCAAAATGAATAACTTGAATAGCCTGAATAATCGCCTCTATATCTCTTATCTTTATGCGAAATGTTCGAGTACTCGGCGTGTTAAAATGTAATAAATTAATTTTTCTCTCAGACTGGAAATCGTGAGGTTAACGTCGTGAAACTCACTGATTAATAATTGGATTTTTCGAATGAAAAGAAGAAAAGAACTCAGATCGCACTTTTTTTCTAGTGAGGTGTCACTAGAATTGCCAGCACACATCCCCAGGTGTCACATGCCTAAACAAAAAGGTCCTGCTCCGAAGAATAAGGGGGAAAGGCCCACAAAACTACGGATTCTGCATCATACGCAGTCCAGGACAAAAGCGAGCTACATGATCGATCGGACATTGTACGGCTGAAAATAAAAGGTGCAGAGAAAACCACGACAGTATGCATTTCTGATACATTACCACTCCTAACGTACACATTCGTGCACAGTGCACACTAGCGACATCAATTTTAACACCAAAAGTACGGTTTTGTGGTTAATATATATAAATATAGCACAAGACTACAAAACTGACGCAAACACTATTATATATGCTGCCCCTCGCTGGGGTATCTTCTACATCTAATTAGATTTTTGTTTGTCTTCTGAAGACCCAAACCTACTGATAGCGGGATATTTCAGCGTTTGCCGGAATTTGATTGCCTAATGACGTGTCACGTGACATAACTTTAGGAAGTAGATTTGAGGAGGTTGTTGTCGCTGCAGGGTCTAGGTTACAGACTATAAGTCAGTAAAAAGTAAAAGGAAGTTATGCAAAAGAGCTAAGAAATACCGGGGATTAGAGTAGAGTTTTTCAGAAATAGTATAGTATAGCATAGTAGTATGTTTAAAGTACACTACAATGTAGATGTACTGAAGAAGATTCTAGTTGATTTCTTGGCAGGACCCCTCCTCATTTAACCCTGAATCACGGTCTTCCGATCATTCGGCTGAGTCAACCGAGGATACATTACACAAATGTGTAACTTCGGATAGATCCAACGGATCCTTAGCTATCTCCCTAGATTAGATGACACTGGCATTCGAACCCTGGACCTTCTGCGCAAAAGGCGGAAGCTCTAACCACTCAGCCACCTAGCCCCTGGCGAAATGTTGCAGATATGACGTCATCACAGATATGTCGTCATCAAATCTGGATTAGAATAATGAGCCTTGATTGTTGATACTTTGATGCTGACGTCATCAACATATTTCGTACCGCAAATTACGAATATCAAATAGAGTCAGTTGACTTAGAAAGAAATAGGTATATCATATCTTCATATATAAAAGCGAGCCTTTAATTTTCTTTAACTTTAGAATAAGGAACACAACCTTGGCGCTACAAAATAAAAAAAAGGTTCTATCTCAACGAGAATGATTGAAAACATGTGTCGTCGGATCAAGAATATTTCGCACTTGCGAGGATAAAGTACAAATGATTAAGCTCTTATTTTCCTTAAAAAATAAGAATTCTTCTGAGTTTGTAAATACGCCGTATTTGAAAGCTTTGACATTAGTAACAGCGTACTAACTATATTTAATTGACGTCAAAGTTATAATTAAATATAATTATATATAATTAAAAAAAGTGGATATAGAAGATTGCACAAGTATGAAGGATACCTCGTTCCTTAGCATGATTGATGGCGAGGCTACATAAGTCATGACATTGACGTTGATATTTTATATTGTTCATTCATATCATTCAATGCTATTGTCCGTAATTACTATTGTTGATTACGGTTATTCAATTCGATTTATCAATTATCATCGGTAACCTTTATCAATTTACTTAATGGTAATACTTTCACTTTTTTAATTGAAAGAGGAACAACCACTTTCTGTTGACTCGTTCCTGGCAAAATTTGGTGTTCGGCGAAAGAAATCTGGGACGATCATCTTACAAAATCGTACGATTATGATTGATAATTTACCGAGATATTGTTACCCTGGAGATATTGTTACCCTGGAGATATTGTTACCCTGGAGTTATTGTTACCCTGGAGTTATTGTTACCCTGGAGTTATTGTTACCCTGGAGTTATTGTTACCCTGGAGATATTGTTACCCTGGAGATATTGTTACCCTGGAGATATTGTTACCCTGGAGATATTGTTACCCTGGAGATATTGTTACCCTGGAGTTATTGTTACCCTGGAGTTATTGTTACCCTGGAGATATTGTTACCCTGGAGTTATTGTTACCCTGGAGATATTGTTACCCTGGAGATATTGTTACCCTGGAGAAATTGTTACCCTGGAGTTATTGTTACCCTGGAGATATTGTTACCCTGGAGATATTGTTACCCTGGAGATATTGTTACCCTGGAGATATTGTTACCCTGGAGATATTGTTACCCTGGAGATATTGTTACCCTGGAGTTATTGTTACCCTGGAGAAATTGTTACCCTGGAGATATTGTTACCCTGAAGATATTGTTACCCTGGAGATATTGTTACCCTGGAGATATTGTTACCCTGGAGATATTGTTACCCTGGAGATATTGTTACCCTGGAGTTATTGTTACCCTGGAGAAATTGTTACCCTGGAGATATTGTTACCCTGAAGATATTGTTACCCTGGAGATATTGTTACCCTGGAGATATTGTTACCCTGGAGATATTGTTACCCTGGAGATATTGTTACCCTGGAGATATTGTTACCCTGGAGATATTGTTACCCTGGAGATATTGTTACCCTGGAGATATTGTTACCCTGGAGATATTGTTACCCTGGAGATATTGTTACCCTGGAGATATTGTTACCCTGGAGATATTGTTACCCTGGAGATATTGTTACCCTGGAGATATTGTTACCCTGGAGATATTGTTACCCTGAAGATATTGTTACCCTGGAGATATTGTTACCCTGGAGATATTGTTACCCTGAAGATATTGTTACCCTGGAGATATTGTTACCCTGGAGATATTGTTACCCTGGAGATATTGTTACCCTGGAGATATTGTTACCCTGGAGATATTGTTACCCTGGAGTTATTGTTACCCTGGAGATATTGTTACCCTGGAGATATTGTTACCCTGGAGATATTGTTACCCTGGAGATATTGTTACCCTGGAGATATTGTTACCCTGGAGATATTGTTACCCTGGAGATATTGTTACCCTGGAGATATTGTTACCCTGGAGATATTGTTACCCTGGAGTTATTGTTACCCTGGAGAAATTGTTACCCTGGAGATATTGTTACCCTGAAGATATTGTTACCCTGGAGATATTGTTACCCTGGAGATATTGTTACCCTGGAGATATTGTTACCCTGGAGATATTGTTACCCTGGAGTTATTGTTACCCTGGAGAAATTGTTACCCTGGAGATATTGTTACCCTGGAGATATTGTTACCCTGGAGATATTGTTACCCTGGAGATATTGTTACCCTGGAGATATTGTTACCCTGGAGATATTGTTACCCTGGAGATATTGTTACCCTGGAGATATTGTTACCCTGGAGATATTGTTACCCTGGAGATATTGTTACCCTGGAGATATTGTTACCCTGGAGATATTGTTACCCTGGAGATATTGTTACCCTGGAGATATTGTTACCCTGGAGATATTGTTACCCTGGAGATATTGTTACCCTGGAGATATTGTTACCCTGGAGATATTGTTACCCTGGAGATATTGTTACCCTGGAGATATTGTTACCCTGGAGATATTGTTACCCTGGAGATATTGTTACCCTGGAGATATTGTTACCCTGGAGATATTGTTACCCTGGAGATATTGTTACCCTGGAGATATTGTTACCCT